TCTGGGAGAGAAGTGGCCCCAATAACTTCCCTCACTCCCAAGTTCGTTTGTTTGTTTGTTTAAGAAATTTGTGTCCCGCTTTTCTCCACTCAAGGGCCTAAGGTGGATCACAGCCAATAAAACATACAATACACAAGTGAAAACCAAGTGAAAACCATAAATATTAGACATGCTGTAAAGTCTAATTAAAGTTGAATAAAATAAATTATACCAACCCAGTCATATGTAAAAGACCTATTGGCCTTCTTAGCCATTTAGTACCATTGAATTATGATCCCCAAAGGCTTTCTTGAACAGGAAGGTTTTAAGGCCCTTTCTAAATGTTATAAAGAGGATTCAGGTCTAATATCATCTGGCAGGGCATTCCAGAGAAAGGGAGCCACCCCTGAGAAGGACCTCTCTCTAGCGATCCCCAGGTGTTGAGTGTACCAGATGTTAGAGGACGCTAACAATTCCTAAGAAATCTCTCTGGCATATATACAAGAACCCAGTCTCTCAAGTAATCTGGGCCAATGCCCTGAAGGGCTTTAAAGGTCCACACCAGCACTTTGAATCAGTTCTGGAAACTAATAGGGAGCCAGTGCAGCTGTTTCAGGAGTGGAATGGTGTGTTCTCTTATGTTTGCTCCCATCAACAGCCTAGCTGCCGATGTTTGAACAAATTGGAGTTTCCGAACCATTTTCAAAGGCAGCCCCATGTAACGCATGTTACAGTAGTCCAGGCGGGATAGAACCAGGGTGTGCACCACTGTGGCCAGGTCAGATTTGTCCAGGAAGAGGTGCAGCCGGCGCACCAGTATAGGTTGTGTAAAGGCGACCCTGGTAACCTCCGTCACCTGGGCTTCCAAGTTTAAGAAGGTATCCAGAATCACCCCCAAGCTGCGGACCTGAGCTTTCGGGGGAAGTGTTATCCCGTCCAGCTCCGGTTGTGACCCTATTCCTGGATCCATCTTACACATGACCAGTAGTACTTCCATGTTAACAGGATTCGGTTTCAATTTTTCACCCTCACCCTCATTACTGCCTCCAGGCACCGGTTCAGGCACATCATGGCTTCCTTGGCGATTTCTGGTGGAAAGGAGTAGTAGAGTTGGGCATCGTCTGTGTACAGATGATAACAAACTCAAAAACTCCTGATGATCTTTCCCAGCGGTTTCATGTAGATGTTATATAACATTAGGGAAAGTGATAAGCCCTGTGGAATCACACAGTTTAATGGCCATGGGGTTGAGCAGGACTTGCCCAGAACCACCTTGTGGCCATGATCCATTAGAAAGGACTGGAACCACTGCAAGACAGGGCCTCTCAGCCCCATTCCCCTCAGTCGTTCCAGAAGGATACCATTGGTGATGGTATCAAAAGTCAGTGAGAGGTCCAGGAGAACCTAATAGGTCATACTCTCCTCATCTAGTTTTCCATGTAGATCATCAACCAAGGTGACCAAAGCAGTCTCTGTTCCATGTCCCAGCCTGAAGACAGATTGAAACGGGTCAAGAAAATCTGCTTCATCCAAGAATCCCTGAAGTTGTCTGGCCACCACCCGTTCCATAACTTTTCTAATAAATGGCAAATTTGACACCAGTCTATAGTTTTCAACATGGTCGCATTAAGGGGTGATTTTTTTTCCAACTTAGGTTGCACCACCGCTTCTTTTAGTACTGTAGAGACCTTGCCTTGGTGGATTGAGGCACTGATAAGCTCCCTTATCCAAGACATGCACCTCCTGGCTTGTTTAACAAGTGGTGGCCCTGACCTCTCCAAGAATCCTGTCTGCATCCTCAGGTAACACCAATTGAAAATTATCTATAAATAGGGGACTAGATGGTGCTTTGGTTGCATTCACAGGAGCTGTAGCCAGAGGCGGCCCTAGGTAATTTTCAACTGTAAGCAAACAGTATCCCCCACCTATCACTGATATATATTTTCTGTTTGTCGTGGGAGTTCTGTGTGCCATATTTGGTTCAATTCCATCATTGGTGGAATTCAGAATGCTCTTTGATTGTAGGTGGACTATACATCCCAGTAACTACAACTCGCATATGTCAAGGTCTATTTTCCCCCAAGAGCGACTCAAGAGCGCCCCTGGGCAAAATCAACTATACTGCAAATGCTTACTTTGTGTAATGGGTTGAGCTGCCCCTGGCTGTAGCAACTATGGTATCTAATTCAGAGCTAATCTGATTGATTTTGGTAGCGAAAAATGATGTGAGGTCTTTGCAGTGAACTGTTGAGTGGAATGGTGAATTATCTGTATTAGGTTTTTTCAGACTACTTTCACTACTTTGAATAACTGTGCCACTTTTGGACAAATAAATGACTGTTTTTTCTTGAAAGCTGCCAAGTACAGCAATTCATACTCAGGACAAGTTGCAGCACCTCCCATCATACACTATTTTACCATTTTAAAAAAATTCAAACCAGAAATGGGTGTCAGCTCATTTCCAGATTTCATTTTGAAGGTGTTTTTGGCAACCAGAAGATCCTCAGATCTGCATATTAGCCCCAGGATGCTCTGACATTGCCACTTTCTAATGTAAATGGATTAAACACTGCAGAATAATGCATCCGTTAGGGTGATCATGTGGATTCATACCCCCATTCTCTATGAAAGCTAAGTTCTCTTGTCCCATTATCGTGAAATGCAACCAAGAGATGAGCCTTTAATCAAAGAGAAGGCATGAGTCTCCAGAGGGAAGAGAACAGATGAAGGCCAGTATTTTTGTTACCTTTGCATCCTTTGCCTTTCTCTCAAGAAAGGTGCAAGGCAATGTTCCACTGCACGCTGTAATTTCAGCAATGCTTGGATGCCCTCTTGTGTCAATGCAACAGAAGTGCATCAGCATGCCAAGATTAACATTTTGGGAACATTTTGCATTTTATTAAGTAACTAGCTTGGATATCCAGCATAAGGTTGTGGGTGAACTACAACTCATATCAGCCGGTCCGAGTCCCCCTTCAGGGGTGAGAAGAGTGGGGTATAAGTACAGTAAATAATAATCATGCCAGGTTTACCCCCTGAAACTCCATCAGTAAAGTTTGTCATGTTGGGCAAGTTTGCTCTAGATGCATCAGTGGTGTTCAGTGTGATCTCTGGCTGTAGGATAAACTATAGCTCCCACCGTGGTGGATCAGTCCCCTCAAATCCTGCCAGTAGGTTAAATTGGTCATTGGTGTTCTGTGTGCCAAATTTGGTCCAGGTCCACCATAAGTGGAGTCCAGAGTGCTCTTTGATTTAACATGAACTTTAAATCCCATTACCTACAACTCCCAAATGTCAAGGGTAATTCCCCCCAAAACCCACCAGTATTTAAATTTGGGCATATCAGGTATGCCTGCAAGTTTGGTCCAGATGCATTGTTCTTTGGGTTCACAGTGCTCTCTGGATGTGAGCTACAACTATAAATCAAGGTCAATTGCCCCCAAACCTCTCAAGTATTTTTGTTGGTCATGAGGGTTCTGTGTGCCAAATTTGGTCCAGGTTCATTGATGGTGGGGGCCACACTGCTCTGTCTTGATGCAGGGTGAACTACAACTTCCATCATGTTGAGTCAGTCCCCCAAACCTTTTCAGGATGTTCACTTGCTGATCAATTCTGCTCTGTTTGTTGTGCAACATAGACAAGAATAGGAAAGGGTTATGGAAAAGGGGAAGTGGGCAGGATCTAAGGAACAAATGAACACTGGGGTATTTGTGGTGGAGGAAACACATGAAATCTAGGATGAAATTGTCCCCGTATGAAAGCATTCACTTAGGTGGTGGGCAATATGGCGTTTGTGGAGGACATTGGCAGGGCTCTTTTACTCACTATAACCTGCAATGTCATTGGAGGGAGGGCCTTTGGTGTCTCCTGCGTAGTGGGAGCTATAGCCATTTGTGGAAGTGGGAGCCTCTCTGTGTAAGTGGACACCACAGCCACATACACACATACATATTTTCACTTTTATTATGTGTATAGATCTAGCAATCTCAGTCACATTGGAATGGTATTGGGGTATGATGCTATTGGGATGCCATATTATTCTGTCTCCTAGCAAAGGAAGCTCCTTTGGAAACAAGGAGAGAGACATCAATTTGTGATTTGGAGAGGATGTTCCTGGAAAGTGAACAGGAAAAGAAAACAACAACATCCACAACAGTATGCAAAGACAGGAGAACGGCCTGCCTCAGGGGAGCATGCTTGTTCCATCAGTGTTTAACATTTACACAAATGGCTAGCCACTGCTAGAAGGGACAGAGACCTTCATCTATGCTGATGATCGTGTCATCACCATCAAGCAGGGAGCTTTGAAACGGTTGAACAGAAGCTCTCTGAAGCTTTAGGTGCTCTTACTCTTTTTACAGGGAAAACCAGCTGATTCCTAATCCATATAAAATACAGATCTTAAGAACAGATAAGCATCTCAAGGAGGATGACCTGAGAAGGAATCCCACTGGAGCATTGCAGCACACCCAAATAACTGGGGGTACTCCGGACCGTGCTCTCACCTACAAGAGGCACTGCTTGAATATCAAGCAAAAAGTGGGTGCTAGAAATGACATCATACGAAAGCTGACTGGCACAACCTGGAGATCACAACCAGACACAGTGAAGACATCTGTTCTTGCACTTTGCCACTCTGCTGCTGACTCCGCATGCCCAGTGTGGAATAAATCTCACCATGTTAAAACAGTGGATGTGCCTCTTAATGAGACATTCCGCATTATCATAGGATGTCTATGCGCAACACTGCTGGAGAAATTATACTTTTTAGCCGGTATTGCACCACCTGACATCTGCCGGGAAGTAGCAGCCAGTAATGAAAGGACCAAGGTATTGACATCTCCGCCCCATCCTCTCTTCAGATATCAGCCAGTAAGCTGAGGTCTTAAATCAAGAAACAGCTTCCTAAGATCTACAGAGATACTTGCAGGAACAGTAAGCGAGAGTCCAAACGTGGCAGGCTAGAACCCAGAGCACAAAAAGAGAAGAAAACACAGAACAAACACACAGAGAGCCAAATGTCCAGCAAAGAGACAGTAACAGGTTTTAATCAGACAAGAGTCAGTACACCCGTTATATGACAAATAAGACCATTTGTCTCCTTTTTGGAAATTCCTTCACATACCAGCAGGGAAGAACTTTTTTTTTCTTTTCCTCAGGAAATTAAAGCAGTGTGTGCAAGCCAGTGCTCCACTTTTGTTGGTTTCGTTTCCCCCCTCCCTCCTGTGACTTATTTACATTACAGTACCTCTTTTGTGATCAATAACCAGGAGGCCGGGAGAGGAGTGTGTGTTGATCTCACAGACGCCTGTGCCCAAGTCAAGGAAGGCAGATCTGATTATTTATAGATTTGTACATTATAAATACATACATACATATATAGAGAGATAGATTTGTGTGTGTTTATACACAGATGCATCACTCTCTTCTTCTTTAAAGTATTAAAAAAGTTGATCGGCCTTCAAGCTATAAAAAAATACCTAACTCTACCAGGTAGAAAAAGAAGAAAAATCTTTCCCTCTCCAAGTATACACAGATTTACACCCAGAATTCCTCTGCAAATGTACAGTACATGGATTTCTCTCTCTTTCTCTTGCTAAATTAGGCATGGGCAGGCTTCAGCCCTCCAAGTGTTTTGGACTTCAATTCCCATAATTCCAAATTGTGGGAGTTGACGTCCAAAACACCTGGAGGAAGGACAGAAGTTTGCCCATGCCTGCTCTATATGAACAAGCTTGCATTGGAAACAACACTGGAAGGGGCAGATGGCCATAGAGGAAAAGAACTGAACGCTCATGTTTTATTACAAAATGTAAGTAAACATGTTCTAGCAGGAAAATGCTGCTTTGGTGGTGGTAAGGGAATGGTTGGGAATGGCCTAGCAAGGATCTGTGTGGCTCTGGTACTCCGTGAAGACCAAACGTGGATTTTTTGAAGATTGCATGTCACTGAGGAATCTCTTCCAATAAAGCAGAGATAAAAGAACTGTAAATTTGGAGGGAGGCAGACAGGAGAAGACAGCTGTTCTCAGGTAGAAGAGCAGCACCTTGAACCTGCTTTGGGGCTTCTGCTTCATCTACAGAGCCTCTTGAGAGGCCATAAACACAACAGAGTAGAATGACAAAGGTAGCCCTTACATCTACCAAGACATTACTCGAAGGTTTATATGAACACAGAAAGTTGAAAGTACTCCACAAATTCAGTTGGGAGCCTTCAACAGGAGTGTCCTCAGCCCCACTTTTTTTTCTATAAATGCTCTTTGTTGCCAACACAGGACTGGAGATGGCCATCAAAATAGAAAACGATGAAGATATTATTCCTAAATCATAAGCTGTGATATGGCTGCTCTGTTTTTGTTCAGGTTGTGTCTGAAGGAAGGGGATCAAAAGATTGAGAGCTGGGGAACTGCTAAACATGAAAGGATGATTGGGTATTGTGGGTGTGAAGAAGTTGATCCTCCGTATTGTCGTCTGTCACAGCCATGCAGGCTTGATCCACTTGGAAATTTTGGAAAAGGTGGTGTCATTTTATATTGCACATGGCGGACTGAGGACTAAAGCACCTTATGATTGCAAAGGGGAAAGAGATGTATTAAATGCCAACAATGCCACCTCTCTATGAGAACTGGATGCGTGCGTGGCTCAGGCAGGTATGGAAGGCACTGCTACCTCATCATCGATGCAGCACAATCGGTTTGTGTCTTTTTTAGGGGGAGAGGAGAGTATGCTTTTCCCAATAGAGAAGAAGCATGAATAAAAGACTCCCGCTCTCCAGTCCATTCCAGAACTTAACTTGTGAGGAGAATCCCAGTTTGGACACTCTGTAGCCTTGCACTGGGCTTTAGAGTGCTTTTCCTCCCTCTTTCATAATAAAGACACAGTGAAGCAAGAGCCACTGAATGAAGTTTCAAGACTAGTCTGTTCCTAGTTGTGCATTAAGAAGAGGAAACTTCCAAATAAGCATGAACTCTAAAACCAAGTCCCAAGGCCACATTTTGAAAAATACAGAAAACAATGTAACCCTCTAATTCAGTGGAAATAGTGTGCCTTTTAGGTATTGGCAATATGACATCCACCCATAAATCGGGGGTGGGGGGTGAAAATGAGTGAAAAACACCACTTTTGCCCCAGAATATCCTAGTGAGATATATATAGGCAGGAGGGGAGAGCAAGAGAGAATAAGATTCAACACAACTCTTTCATTTCTCCCCAAGATATGCAGAAATCAGTCATGGTTCATACATTTAGAGCCAATTCTTGCACCAGAGGGAGGAATGGATATCACAGTCTTCATCCATAGTTAGCAAAATGTTTTGATGTGTCCAACATGGTTGTACCAGTAGCTGGGAATGTTGCTTCTGTCTTCTGGCTTCTCTCCTCCTCCCCCTTTTCTTTCCCAGTTGTTATTCCTGCTTCAAAGTGACCAAATAGATAGGCAAAGAAAAGGACAATCTGCAGTAAAGAAAAAGGTGTGCCGTGACAGCGTAATGAAGTGGTTTCATCGAGGAAAGAAACTGGGGGGAATCAGGCCTGCCTCCAGTGCTACACTATCATCGGCTTAGCATCCCCCCTTCCTGACGGCTGGACCCAGCAGGCCAAATACATATCACCTGGTGGACAGGTGCCTTGAAGGGCCACCTGTCAGCAGCCACTCAGTCGTCAACCAGATGGCACCAGGGGTCTCAATCCCTCCACTTTTCAGCAGCTCCTCACCTCCCCACAATTTTGTTTGGCGGTCAAGTCTTGTCTTTTTAAGGCAGCTGGCCCAAGGAAGGAAAATCAAGACACCCCCTAAGTTACCTGTGGTAGACCCCTGAAAAATGTTTTTCTGCTCCAAAAGAAACAAGTTGTTTCTGAAAGCCAGAGAAACACCAAGGTTTTTAGATAAGGCCTGGGCCCAAGGCAGCCCTGTCTCTTTTTCCTTTGGCTAAACAAGGAGAAGTCACAGCCACGCTTCATGTTGTGTGCGTCACCTCTTGGAGAAACTCTACAATGCTACGGAGGAATGTGTTGTCAAGTGCAACCCATACGCCTTGGTGAACTCTCAGGAAGAAATAGTCAAGCAGAGATGAATGGGCAAGGCATTTGGGGCCTCTGGTCCCTTTATCACCCCACCACGACTGCCATGTTGAGAAACTTAGCGGCCCTCCCCTCCTTCTCTGCTTAATTCCTCTACCTGTTGCAGGTGGAATGGCTTGGGAGGTGATGGGAATGGGTTTCAAGTTGTAGCACTGTGTCCGCTACATTCTCAAAGCAAGGTGCTGCTGGTGTGCATTCACGTTCATTGCCCCCACCCCCTTTTGCATCTCATTCAGTGGCCACTTCCTTTGCTCGAGGTTCCCTTCCACCAAGCCCGATCTCACCCCCATCAGTCACTGGGGGGAAAGGAGGCCGGCTCAACCGCGGGTCTTTTCTTCCCTCAAATCCACCAGGATCTGTCACCCATCCCATCCCGATGTGAGGCTTCCTGTGCCTTCTTTGCAGAGCAAAGACTTTTTTTGCCAGTGTTCTCTTCCTAGAGCAGCAAATCCATCATTGACAGACAGGCACCATCAGGATCGCAAGCCCACAGCGCTGAGGCTTCTATTTGACTTCCAGGATCGACGGGTTGGTTTCCATGATGGCCACAATGATCCTGTCAATGTAGTCTTGAAGTCGGTAATTGATCTCTTCTTGTTTCTGAATGGCCTCCATTAGCTGTTTGAAAAGAAGGGCATTCATTACTGGAAGGCTTCCTTCCCGGTTATGGCCAAGCTTGCTCAAACACCGTAGGGCAATTATCAGTACTGTGCTCTGAAACACCAGAACAAACCATAACCAATTGTTTTTCTTAATGAAATATCAAAAGAACAATTCCAAAAACCATTCCTTCACCCCTAAAGTACCTTATAAAAAATGCAAAAGTAACAAAAGACAATGGGTTGTATTGAAAGAGATGACGCTAGCCAACACACATTTGGTTGCCTCAGATGTTAGCCCTGATTCTGGGTCTATCTGACCTGCTGATTCCAAAAATGGCACCAGTTTCCCCTGAGGTGCAGAAATATGCCATCTACCAGTCACCGTCTGCTCACCCATCAAAAATCATGATAGCCATATCTAAGAAACTAGAGCTGATGCGGTTCTCTGCAATGCAATTTTCTGAATCAGCACCCCAAACAACCCCAGAAACAGTTCTTAAAAACAAAAATACCGGGAAATTTATTTTTGTTGTGTTGTGTTAGTCTTCACCAGATATTGATTACAAATGGCCAATGCTTTACATATCGTTGGGATTTAGCACAAATATTGGAAGACTTTTTAACACTTCGATGAATTGCAGCATGAATTCAATAATTTGTTTTCTATTTCATGGGGCAGTAAAAAACAAGCTTGCTCCATTTTCTACCTGACATCTCTACAGATAGCTAAGCATGGCCATCATGTCACCTCTTACTCTTCATTCCACCCAAGTAAACATACCCAATCTTCTAAGCCAGTGGTTCTCAACCTGTGGGTCCCTAGGTGTCTACAACACCCAGAAATCCCAGCCAGTTTACCAGATGTTGGGGTTTCTGGGAGTTGAAGGCCAAAACATCTGGAGACCTACAGGTTGAGAACTACTGCTCTTAGCCATCAATATTCTCGTGAGGTTTGACCAGTAGACTAGAGTGTTACTATTCCTTTCCTCAGTCTGGAAACTATACTCCTGTTCACGCAGCCTGGAATTACACCAGTGTTTCTGGTTGCTATATTACACTGCTGACATGTTTAGTTTATGGTCTACTAAGACTCTTAGATCTTTTTCACATGTAGCATTGTCAAGCCAGGTCCCGCATATCCTACATTCTGTTTACCTTTTCTTGCCATAATGTAGTAGCTTACATTTATTCATTTTGCTACATTTGGCCCAACTAGACAATCTGTTATGATCATGGTCCTATTAGCTACCCCTCCAAATTTGCGTTTATCTGCAAATTTTATATGCATATCCCCTGTTACATCATTCAAACTGTTTATAAAAGTGGGGCTCATCACCAGGATTTCCACTGAAGTGTACTACTTCTAATTGTTGACTTGGTTTTAAATAGTTTGAACTATTTTAACCGCTTTATACAAAGTCTGATCAACTGTTAGATCTTTGGAAATGGCCAGGTTATAAATATTTTCCTATCCTATCCGATTTGTCGTCGATCCACTCCTTCAGCTGCATGCAGATCTACTGTTTGCCAAATGATAGATAGTAGAATAAATATGTATCATAAATATCTACCACTTGCCATATGGTAGATAGTAGAATAAATATTTTGATCATCAATAAATACATTTCTGATTAGTTTATTTATAAAAGGACGATGCACTTGGATCTGGCAAGCAGAGACTTTAGTCTGGCGACAAGAGAAAAACATGGAAGTTAGGATGTTCCAAAGCCCCTAATTGGCACATTTTGAATTTAAAAGCACTTCAGAGTTCAATTACTAAAACATCTTGAGATGTTTCAATTTCAGATCCTAAAGAATGTAATTTCTCTGTTACAATTGGCAGGAAAGGAGTGCCCTGCCCGGAGGCCCTCCAACAACGGTACCTCGTCGCGGGAAACCGAGCTGATTTCTGCAGCCAGAGACTCCGAGAAGGACGCAGAGAAGAGGTTCTTGGCGCCTTGAATACTGAGGTTGATGATCTGCCCGTTCAGCTCATCATTCTGGTCCTTCAAGGTTCGGTTGTCCTGTTTACAAGCAGAAACCAAAATGCAGAAACCAAAATGTCAGCTCTTTCCATGATGGAAGTAAGGAGGAAGTAAATGAAACTACCTCATGCAGAATCCGATCATTGAAAACTGCGTCTCATACAGGAAGTTGTCTTACCCTGGCTAAATCAGAGAGAAACTTGGCAACAGCCACGGTCACCTGGAGAAAACTATCTCCTAGTAAAAACTTTACTTGGAATTGGGCTGATCTACAAGGAAGGTTGCTCAGTAGTGGGTTAATAATATGTAGCTGAGCCTGTTTGTAAAAACTGCAGGACAATAAGATGTGAGACATACATTCAACATCCTGGTTATGAGAAGGGCAAAGTCTTACATTGTATGGGACTCCCTCCAGCAAATCTGCCTCGAAGCACTTTGGATAGGAAGACATTGCACCATGCCTAAGAGCAGGCATGGGTAAACTTCGGCCCTCCAGGAGTTTTGGACTTCCCCACAATTTCTAACAGCCTTGGGCCCTTTCCTTTACCCCCTCAGCTGCTTAACCGGAAAAGGAAAGGAAAAAGAAAGTGCCTAAGGCTGTTAGAAATTGTGGGGAAGTCCAAAACACCTGGAGGGAGGGCCGAAATTTGCCTGTGCCTGCCTTAGAGAATAGGCACTCAACTGTAGCATTGGTCCGAGACCAGGGCGTGGGTTTGCAACCGACTGGGGCAACCCTGGGCAATGCACTACAGACTCAGCATGCCAGCGAAGACCATGCCACAAGAGGCTTTCTTCCCACCTACCTGCTTGAGCCGCCTGATCTCCTGCTCTAGCTCCGTTTCCCGCGTCCGGCTGTTGTACTCCTGGAGGCCAATGCTGCTGCTCCTGCCCCTTCGCTGCTCAGCCTCCAGCTTGAAGAGCTGCAAGTGTTCCAGCTGTTTCCTTAGGTCCTCAATCAGCTGCCGAGCAAGGAATAAGAAGAGGAAAGGACTATTATTTGAAAAAATACCACTTGTTTCTGGCTCATATACACAACAGCAGTGTTGACTACAAAGAAGCAAACAAGCTGTTGTTTTTCAGTGGTTATTATGGAACTGTAAATTTTATATAATATCATATGTTTTAATTATTCTGACTTTTGCTTTAAATGTGTATTTGTTTTGGGATTTGAGTGGGATTGGTATTTACTTATGTTTATTGTACTGCATTAAATGTTTGCTGATTTTGTTGTTCACTGCCCTGAGTTCCCTAAGGGAGATAGGACGGTATATAAATAGATTTAGTATAAAATTATTAGATATAAATAATTTTAGTATTATTATATATTAATAAGCCTAAGTACTCTAGTACAAGCATGGGCCAAGTTCTGCCTCCCTCCAGATGTTTTGGACTTCAACTCCCACATTTTCTAATAGCCGAGATATTAAAAAATATCATAATATGTTGTCGAAAGCCTTCATGGCCAGATTCACTGGGTTGCTGTGTGTTTTCTGGGCTGCCTGGCCATGTTCCAGCAGCATTCTCTCCTGACGTTTCACTTAATGGCATCTTCAGAGGTCTGTTGGCAATGAAGCAAGTGGAATGTGTAGCTATACCTGTGGAATAATATCCAGGGTGGGAGAAAGAACCCTTGCCTGTTTGAAGCAAGTGTGCATGTTGCATTTGGTGAGCTTGAATAGTATTGAGTAGCCTTGCAGTTGCATAGGAACCCCCAAACACAGCAGCATTGACCAGACACTAATCAAAAAACAAGAAAGGCACTGTAGACTGATTCAGTCAGAGAAGTCAGCCATAGCAGAGCACTTGATGAACCAACCTGGACACAGAATGTTATCTGAGAACACAGAAATGCTGGACCAGTCTAACCACCATCATGTCAGACGACACATTGAAATCCACAAGAAGCATGTGGACAACTTCAACAAAAAGGAGGAAACCATGAAAATGAATTAACAAAATCTGGTTACCAGTATTAAAAAAAACCAGAATCAAGACGGTAAATAAAGAACACCACTCATAAACAGGGCAACTTCAGAGAGCAAACAGCCAGGTGCCAGTTAAACAAAGGATGCCTCCAGGCAAGCAACAGCCAGGCTACCTCTATGCAGATACCCTCACTGACTGACTTTGCAGCTGCAAGGCTACTCAATGCTAATCAAGCTGGCTAATTGCAACATTCACACTTGCTTCAAACAGACAAGGGTTCTTTCTCTCACCCTGGACATTATTCCACTCTCTCTCTCTCTCTCTCTATACACACACACACACACACACACAAATATATACAAATATATACACACATATACACATACATACACACACACCGTGTGTGTGTATACACACACACGTACGTACACACACCACTTGCCTTACTTCCAATAGACCTCTGAAAAAAACTTCTGAGGATGCCTGCCAGAGATGCAGGCGAAATTCAGGAAAGAATGCTACTGGAACATGGCCATACAGCAAAAAAAAAAAACAAACAAAAAAAAAACTCACAGCAACCCAATCATCATCATCATGATAATGATGGTGCCAGGACAGTTTTGTGGTCCATTATACTTCCAGAAGGCCCTGATTTGTAGTGAACTCGACTGACCTCCTGTGTGGATTCTTTATCCTTCTGAAACTGATGTCTCTCTTGATTCAGCTTATCTCCCAGTTTCTTCTTGTTCTCTTGCTCCGCATTTAGCTGCACTGTGAGATCTTCTATTTCATCCAATAACTTGCGCTTTTCCTAAATTAAGTGAGAGAAATCACGGAAGAGAAATGGTTTGTGAGTCCTTTCACTTTGAAGCACTCAGGAGCTCAGTGGGAAAGCAAATGCATGCCGAAAGATCTGGATTTGATCCCATTTGAGTTTACATTAAAGGATACATGCTGCCTACCTGCAGTTCATGATGCTGAAAGCAGAAATGGATTGCAAGCACTACTATTGAAAAAGCCACCGGCCTTCACCTTCCCCCTTTCATAGGCACTCATTATGATTATGTAAAATATAATCATAATACAGTGATACCTTGACTTAAGAGTTTAGTTTGTTCTGTGCCCAAGCTGTTAACTCAAAATACTCAAGATCTCAAAGTGAATTTCCCCATTGAAATACACTGAAAGGATGTTAACCCATTCAAGCTCTCAAAACCCCCCATTTTTTGTTAAGAAAATGCATTTTATAAATAACAAAAAATGTATAAATGCACATTACTATATATACTATATTTATGACACATAATATAATATTTTCATATTATATTATATTCCATGTATACTATATCACATATACTATATTTATGCTATATTCATAATACAATATATTCATATTATACTATAGTCTATTTATACTATATTGTATATACTATATACTATATTCATATTATGCTATATTCAATTTATACTATACTATATAAATACTCTAATAAATAATATATTCATAATATAATATATTCTATTTATACTATATTATATATAATATATTTATACTAAATAATATAATATACTAATATACTATATTCCATTTATACTATATTATGCATACTTTAAAAGGTAAAGGTTTCCCTGACATTAAATCTAGTTGTGTCCGACTCTGGGGCAGGGGGTGATGTTCATTTCCATGTCTAAGTTGAAGAGTTGGCATTGTCCATAGACACCTCCTAGGTCATGTGGCTGGCATGACTGCATGGAGTGCCATTACCTTCTTGCTGGAGCAGTACCTATTGATCTACTCACATTTGCATGTTTTCGAACTGCCTGGTTGGCGGAAGCTGGGGCTAACAGTGGGAGCTCAGCCTGCTTCCCGGATTCGAATTGCCAACCTTTCGGTCAGCAAGTTCAGCTGCTCAGCAGTTTAACCTGCTGCACCACTGGGGGGGGGGTGTTCCATATATACTATAATTATATTATATTTGTAATTTAATATATTCATATAATACTATATTCCATTTATACTTATTATATATACTATATTATACTACACAAGATAATATATCCATATACTATATTGCACTCTCTTTCTATCTATCTATCTATCTATCTATCTATCTATCTATTCAATTTATACTACATTATACATATGATATTTATACTACATTCTGTCTAGCTTTATTCTAGGCAAACACACACATGAGTGCAACATTCAAATAATAAAGGTCAGGCATAATCAGGCAGTCCTAGGTATCATCAAGCGAAAATGTGGCACTTTGTCTCAGGGAGTGTAAAAGGGCCAGATGAGAAAAGTATCACAAGGTAAAGACTGATGAGAAAACAAGTTATCATGTGAGAAGGACCTCTGGCAAGAACAAAGGGAACGTGGCATGCTCTGAAGGGGAAGAACGGAAGGTGATGATGGCAAGCCATTATGGGATGAACGAGTCCTGCATCGCTGTGCAATACAGCACTTGGCACAGCCACCTTCACCCCAGTTGTTTCTATTCTTAGACACACAACCGTGAAATCCATACCCCTAAAAAAGGGGGAGAGGAACCTCACCTCCTCCAGCCTCTCAATATTGGCTTTCAGGCAAGGAACACAGGAACGCAGCTCGCTGTTCTCATCATCCAGCTGTTGCAATCTGCAGCAATACAAACAATGCATTTAAAAAGGTAGAAAAGATTTTTTGTCTCTTGGCTAACACTAGCTCTGTGGTTACTCACAGGATCAGGGTATAGGGATACAACCTGTGTTGGATGGAGTCACACTCCTCCTGAAGATACAGGTACACAGCTTGAGGGTGATCCTGGATTTACCACTGATCCCAGGGGCTCAGGTGTCAGCAATGGCCAGGAGTACCTTTGCACAACTCAAACTTGTGTGCCAGCTGTGCCTGTACCTGGAGACAATGGATCTGGCCACGGTAGTTCATGGTAGTCCATGCTTTAATCACATCCCACTTGGATTACAGCAAAGTGCTCTATGTGGGGGTGCCTTTGAAGAGTGCTCAGAAGTTTCATCTGGTGCAGAGATCAGCAGCACTGTACAGGAAGCGAACAACTCCCATGATGCAGCAGCGCCACTGACTCCCAGTTTGCTACCAGGAGGAATTTAAAGTGCTGGTTGTTACCTTTAAAGCCCTAAACGGTTCAGGTCCAGACTACCTAACCAACCGCCTCTCCTCATATGAACCTGCCTGGATGCTACAGTTATCAGGAGAGGTCCTTCTCTCGATTCCACCTCCATCCCAAACCCGGCTGGTGGGGACAAGAGAGGAGCCTTCTCTACAATTGCCCCCCGCCTCTGGAACTCCCTCCCAAAAGGCATCAGAACAGCCCCATTGCCGCCCTCGTTCAGAAAACAACTGGAAACCTTCCTATTGTTCCCAAGCATATGGTGAAATGAATGATTGAATACATGGTATTATGAAATGTGAAACAGTTTATGGAAACGGCTTTGAAATTTCCCCTTTACTGTTGTTGTTTTAATGAGTTTTATAGGATGCTTTTTATTGCTTTAATAGCTATTTGTTTTATACTATTAGAATTGTATTTAATTTAAATTGTACTGCTTATTTATTACAGAACAAGGCATTGGATATTTGCCTTTTTATGTCTGTGAGATGCCTTGAGTCCCCACAGGGAGATGGGGTGAGATATAAATAAAGTTTTGATCGATAGATTGATTTTTCACTATGGAAGAAAAGCTAGTTCATATAGTATTGTATGTAGTATTTTAAGGCCATATTTCACCATTGGTTCATGTAGCATTTTAATGGTTTATGTGTAGTATTTTAATAGTGTATTGCAATTGAATCTAAAGTGCATCTCAATTTTCAGGACCCTGAAACCAAAATATTAGCTGGTGAAGGTCATGCACAGTGGCAAAAAGTGCACTCTTTGTAACTGGTTCCAAAAAAGGTGTGCATTACAATTGCTGTGCACTTATAATTCCTTCCAATAAAAAGTAACACCAGAAAATCAGATAACCATTGATGGGAAGAAGGGAAGGGAAAGAAGACAGGAGGAAACTTTAAGGAGGGAAGATGGAAGGAAAAGGAAAAAAAGGAGGATGAGAAGGAAGAAATGAGAAAGTACATGGAGGATAGAAAGAAGGTACGCAAAGAAGAAGAAAGGAAGAGAAAGGAAAGGATAGGAAAGAGGGAGGGGGAAGGAAAAGATGGGGGGAAAGATAGGGAAGGAAGATGAGGAAGGAAGGAAAATAAGAGAGGAAGAAAAGAGAAAGAAAGGAAGGGAAAATAAAGGAAAGGAAAGAGGTAGGGATAAAGGAAGGAAAAGATGGGAAGAAAGATGAGGAAGGAATAGGAAAAGAAGGAAGGAAAAGAAGAAAGGAAGAAAGAAAAGGATGGGAGGGCAAAGATGGGGGGATACAGGCACCTTTTGGCATGTTATTGTAATGCACTATCAAACGTAATGTGCGTCTCCTTTTTGGCTAAACAATTGAGCCAAAAAAGATGAGCATTACAAACTAGTAAATATGGCTGTTAGGAATTGTGGAAGTCCAAAACACCTGGAGGGAGGGCCAAAATTGGCCCATGCCTGGTGTAAGGATTAAATTAAACTACTACTAGAAAAGGTAGTGGCACATCCTTCCAGGGCTTTGCACACTCTAGACCAGTGTTTTGGCCTACAACTGGCCCAATAATCCCAGCCAGTTTACCAGCTGTTAGGATTTCTGGGAGTTGAAGGCCAAAACATCTGGGGACCCACAGGTTAAGAACCACTGCTCCAGACCCTTGTTTAGCCCTGTTAGTGTTTTATCTACAGTTCCTACAACTCCTTTATATTGGTTACGCTGAATGGTGCTGATGCGAGACATCGGCTGGAATGAGATCATCAGAGCACACTAAATGCGCGAGGACATTTTCACCCACAATGTGGGATGTAAATAATAATATTAACAATAATGCTGCAACAAATGGGGGATCTCATTTGCAGCCCTGCAGCCTCATTTGCAGCCTCTGCTGTTGCTGCCCATTTCCCAAATACTGTGCTTCTCACACAAAAGATCCCAAACCTTTGTTTGATTCCAAATTCGAGCCATGGCCATCATTTCACAAATGATGCTGTGCAGGAGCCTTACCGGGCTTGCAGGTTCTCGATCTCAATGCTCTTCTCCCGCTCCATTTTGCTGAGAAGTTCTCTCTGCTTCCGGATTTCTTCCATGAGGATTTCGTCCGATTTCAGCTCCTGCTCTTTCAACTGCTCCTCCAAGGCATTTGCTCTAACAAGAAAAAGGAAAGCATTTGGGGTGAGCGTTTGTTCAGCTACAATTGCAGGTAAAGCCTTTTGTACAGGAACCAAAAGGGATGTTTCTATTGAGGGCTGCTCATGTTAGAAATGGACTATAAAATGGCACTGAAAGGCCTAAACCTTCCTACAAAGGGGCTCTACTTAGGGAATCTATAGAATCAAATCTATAAAAGATGAATCCACTAATGTGGAGGAATGACTGCATGTTCCCCAATGAAGCCGTGTTCGCCTAACAGACTCTAGAACTGTCTGCTCTCTCATTCTTTCTAGGATGCAACACACTGCCCTTTAAAAAGAGTAAAAACTGTCCTATTAGTATTATTATGAATAACCAAGGGATATCATTTCTAGTAAAGGTAAAGGTTTCCCCTAACATTAAGTCAAGTCATGTCTGACTCTGGGGGGTGGTGCTCATCTCCATTTCTAAGCCGAAGAGTCAGCGTTGTCCATAGACGCCTCCAAGGTCATGTGGCTGGCATGACTGCATGGAGCGCAGTTACCTTTCCGCAGAAATGGTACCCATTGATCTACTCACATTTGCATGTTTTCGAACTGTTAGGTTGGCAGGAGCTGGGGCTAACAGCGAGACCTCACCCTGCTCCCTGGATTTGAACCGCCAACCTTTTGGCCATCAAGTTCAGCAGCTCAGCATTATAATTTCTGCTACTGTCTTAATCTCTTCCTGAATTTCCTTTGTGAATATTTGGACCTAAGGGAGTTTGCTCCTCAAACTGTAAAACTTCCTCCTTGCCTTGGAAGTCCTGCTGAGAAAGCTCTATTGCAGAAATGGAAGGCATGCCAAGGAAAACACAGAGAGAGCTCTGTCCACAGAAATCCAGGTAGGCAATGGAAAGGTTTCCATCTGGCCTTCATCACAGGTTCCTTCTCCTTGAACAGGAGAATAGTATAGCAACCTCTGAGATTGATAGAACCATAGAATAATAGAGTTGGAAGAGACCACATGAGCCATCTAGTCCAACTCCCTGCCATGCAGGAAAAGCACAATCAAATTATCCCTGACAGATGGCCATCCAGCCCGTTTAAAAGTTTCCAAGGAAGGAGCTTCCACCAGGCTCCAAGGCAGAGGGTTCCACTGCTGGGCATCTCGTATGGTCCGGAAGTTCTTCCTCATGTTCAGGTGGAATCTTCTCTCCTGTAATATGAGCCCATTGCTCCGAATCCAAGTTTCAAGGGCAGCAGAAAACAAGCACGCTCCCTTTCACATATTGATACATGGCTCTCATGTCTCCTTCTTTCAACCTTCTCTTCTGCAGACCAAATAGACCCAGTTCTTTAAGACGTTCCTCATAGGGATTTATGTCTCCAGAACTTTGAACATGTTACTTGTCATTAAGTGGACCCCTTCCAGGTTAGAGTCAATATCTCTTTTGAACTGTGGGGCCCAGAATTGGACACAGTATTCCAGGTGAGGTCTAACCAAAGCAGAATAGAAAGGCACCATGACTTCCCTCGATCTGGACATTATAACCTATTGATGCAGCCTAGAACCGCATTTGCCTTTTTAGCTGCTCCATCACACTCTTGGCTCATGTCCAACTTGTTTTCCAGGAAGATTCCAAGATCATTCTAACATGGACTGTTGTGGAGCCAGGTATTACGCATTCTGTATACTTGCATTTCATTTTTTTCTGCCCAAGTGCAGCATCTTATATTTGTCCTTGTTGAAAATCATTGTGTTAGTTTTGGCCAATCAGCTCTCTAGCCTGTTAAGGTCATTTTGCATCCTGACCCTGTCCTCTGGAGTATTAGCTTTCCCTCCCAATTTGGGGTCATCTGCAAACTTGATAAGCATACCTTCTAAACCTTCATCCAAATCATTTGAAGCAGCCCAACAATGCAGGCACTAGGGCCAGCCCCCCTGCCCTTTACCTGTGCACCAGCTGAAGGTTTTCCTGCTTCAGGCGGCTGTGATGCTCCCCATTTGCAGCCGTGTCCTTTTCCAGCTCCGTCACCCTTTTCTCCAGAAAGATCACCTGCAGAAAAAGGCAACCCAGTGACCAGAGTTCAACACCCAAAGGCCCATCTGTCCTGCCTTCATTGTATTCACACTTCATACAAATTAACTCCAACACTGAACATTGAAGTATAAACTTGCCATTTGAAAACACTGGCTCGAATTCTGTTGCTAAGCCCAATATACCCATTCAATTGATGAGACTCATTGATGTGGTGGCTTATCATTTTATAATGGAACATTAAGGAAAACCAATCAGGAGAAAATAATCCTACAACTCTTGTGCTAAAGGCAGTCACACTGGATTGATGTTAGGTAAAATTATAATAAATTACATGTATATATTCCAAAAAGAATGGAGCGCAATAATCATTTGAGATGGAAAAATACATAAGAGTTGGATTATATGTGGAAATAAATTTAAATTCAATTTTAGAATTATTATTTTAAAAAAGAGAAGATAGAGTTAGTATACGAACGGGAAGTAGCGTCTCACTTCTGTTTATGTAACTTAGTGTTATAGGTGTAGCGTGTAGTGTTTCAATGTATTGTACTGTAACATTTCATCTTCTGTTCATTCTGCAAACATTTATTTATTTATTTATTTACTATATTTCTATTCCGCCATTCTCAGCCCAAGGGCAACTCAGGCTGAGAGTGACATGTATAGTTGATTCTGTAGAGTCTGATTGTTGCTCAATGTTGTCTACAATTTATATGTTAAGTAGTAGTAGTAGTAGTAGTAGTAATAATAATGCATAAAAAAGAAAGAACATTGAAGTATAAACTTCAGTAGCCCCATGTGTAATGTTGCATGTCATTCTTTGCTCCCCGGTCTCAGCTCCAGCAGACATTTAAAAATAGGTTGTACCCTTCTTCCTAATCCATTCAAGTCAATGCTCAGGTTCTTATTTAAGGCTCTGGGCACTTACAGGGCCAAAACCTTTGGAGGATTATTATTATCATTATCATTATATTTATTTATACCCCGCTTTATCTCTCCTGCAGGAGACTCAAAGCGGCTTACATCACCCCACACAAAATGGGCGAGACCCAGACTTCAGGATAGGAATGATAAACATGTGGCCTTTCAAATTGCAACTTCCACCATCCTCATCCTAAGGATTATGGGAGATGCTGCTGAGCCACACATTCCCTGCATCTATCTCACAACAACGACAATCAGAGCTGCAGAGATTCCTCCTGCCAAGCTTCAAGTCTCTAAAGTCAGGAATATTTCAAGAAAATGAAAATGACTTGCCCTGCTCTGCAAAAAACAAGACAATTTGTCTCGCTGCCTCCATAGCTGGATCTGTTCAGATTTCTCAACATGCTACCGATGGTTGGCTACATAGACAGGGAAAGGGGCTATTAAAGGATAGAGCTTTAAGCCTGATTAGCCCAATCAGGCTTTGGCTGTTTATTTTGGAGGCTGTTTTCATTCTGGCAAGGGATGCAACGGGAAGGTCAAAGGAATGATCAGAAGTGTCCCTTCCTTCAAGAGCTGCTTTGGCTTTTCAAGCTATACAGAGTTTACACCCACTAGCCCAGTCATGGGCAAACTTGGGCCCTCCTCTCCAGGTGTTTTGGACTTCAACTCCCACCATTCTTAACAGCCTCAGGGCCTTTCCTTTTCTCTCTCAGCTGATTAAGTGGAAAAGGAAAGGGAAAAGGGAAAGGAAGGGACCTGAGGCTGTTAGGAATTGTGGGAATTAAAATCCAAAACACCTGAAGGGCCCCTTCCTACAGGAAGCCAGAGGAAAGATGGGGTCTTTCCACTTTGTGCAAGTATTGAAACAGCCAAAATGCAGGAGGATCACTCTCATCTACAGGCAGTCCCCAAGTTATGGACAAGAGAGGTTCTGTAGGCTTCTTCTTAAGTTGAATTTGTATGTAAGTCAGAACAGGGACATTTTTAAAGTGTAATTCCAGCCTGGCTGCCTGGCTGCCTGCCCGCCCGCACGCCCGTCCATCCATCCGCCCATCCATCCGCCCATCCACCCGCCTATCTATCTATCTATCTATCTATCTATCTATCTATCTATCTATCTAAAGCTTTGGATGGCATAGGGAAGGGTGAACTAATGGCGGAGTTCCCCTAGAATCATAGATTTGGAAGAGACGTCATGGGCTGTCCAGTCCAACTCCATTCTGCCAAGAAGCAGGAAAATCACATTCAAAGCACCCTTGAGCCATCCAGCCTCTTTAAAAGCCTCCAAAGAAGGCGCCTACCTCACAATCTGGGGCAGAGAGTCCCACTGCTGAACAGCTCTCCTCACAGTTAGGAAATTCTTCCTCATGTTCAGGTGAAATCTCCTTTCCTGTAGTTTGAAGCCATTATTCCACGTCCTAATCTCCAGAGCCGCAGAAAACAAGCTTGCTCCCTCCTCCCTGTGACATTCCTGGCCTCACATCTTGATACATGGCCCTCACCATGTCTCCTCTCAGCCTTCTCTTCTGCAGGCTAAACATGCCCAGCTCTTTAAGCCGCTCTGTCCTCACAGGGCTTGTTCTCCAGACCCTTGATCCTTTGAGTCGCTCTCCTCTGGACACATTCCAGCTTAGAGTCAACATCTCCCTTCAATTGCAGTACCCAGAATTGAACAGTGTGATTCCAGGTGTGGTCTGACCAAGGCAGAATAGAGGAGTAGCATGACTTCCCTGGATCAAGGCACTAGACTCCTGTTGATACAGGCCAAAATCTCATTGGCTTTTTAAACTGCCGTGTGACATTGTTGGCTCATGTTTTTACTTATTCCCCACAAGGACTCCAAGATCTTTTTCACACGTATTGCTGTCGAGCCTGGCATCCTCGACAGCAGTTGATTCTAAGAAAGATGCCCTATGTTACCTACAAAGAGAAACTACTTCAAATCCTATCTGTAACTGGATTCATATGCAAAGTCCCTGTATGCTGAATAAATGAGTAAACCAACTATGTTACTTTTAAAGAAGTCTGCTTATTTTTGTCTCTTGAGAGCATGGTTTAAAGGCAAATATATTTTAAGGGAGAGTAGATATTTTTGGGCAACTAAAAAGAACACTTCTGAAACTGCTGTGTGTGTATGTGTATGTGTATGTGTACGCACACGCACACACACACACACACATTATTTACTGTATTTGTATGCTGCCTTTCTCAGCCTGTCAGCGACTCAAGGCGGTTTTATATATGAGAGAATGCTGGTGAAGGCCATTTTCCCAATAAGTTATGACTCTAACAAGTCATGTTTTTTACTAAGAGGTTATGGCATCATCTTTCGAAAGGTTGTGACTTCTAACAAGGCCATGCCTTTCCAAAGATCATAAAATGTCCAAAAAAAGGTTATAGAGATTTCCGTTTTCCAAAAATTTCACACTCGGAGAAGCAAGAATACTGGTACTATCTGCCACTTAGAGGTGGATTATACATTTCTGAAGACATAGAATCCTGCTGCTAAAGGATCCCCAATCCTGGAGCCTTACAATCCCAGAAATGACAATCAGCAAACAAATCCAAATCAAGGCTGCATTTGGGGTCAATGGGGCACAAACTTTTGTTTTTTTCTCCAAAATGGAAAGCAGCAGCAACAATGAGATTGAAAGGTTACCTATAAAAGGGACACAAAGCTTGGACAAGTCCTAGCTGCGGGATCAAGAGAACATATTCCTGATAAGGAATGTGCCTGTTCTCTGCATATGCAAGGGGCTGACCTTGTCAGTGATATCCTCCTCCAGGCACTGGGTGTTGTTCTGGAAAGGCTCCTCCATAGCATCGATGGTGAGACTCCCCGTCTGGTGCAGGTGCCTAAAAAAGACAGAGATCAGTCCGATCCAGAGAGAGAAGGCACCAATCCAGAGAGAGGGCAATCCCATGCAAAGAAACATCGCCATCAGGAGAATCATTGGAACGGAGAACAGGGTCACACTTGCGCTAGTCTTTCCATGCTGCTCATCTCTTTTTTCTGGAGCGGGTTCCACAGCAACACCATCTTTCAGGAAGAAGGTTAACTTCAAAAGTCCACTTTGACCCCAAAGCAGTTTTTAAAAATACATCAAAACATACATATATTCACTGCACATAGCTTATGGTGGCTGTCCACCCACCACTGTCTTCTCATGGCCCTCTAAACTAAGCAAACACTCCAGTGCCGATATGGAATGACAGAGCACTCAGTGAGTGGCAGGCATTCATGCTTATAAACCATTTCCTTTTGCTCTTTGGAATATGGACAGATAGTGATCTGACTTTTCTGCCACTTCATGTGCTTTTGAGCTTCATGGCTGCAAGATATAGCAAGATACTCTGGGGTGATAAACGTCAGTGTGTATGTGTATGGGGGGGGGGGGGGCTGGGAAGGAAACTGGGGCAGAAAAGGTCCTCCCTGTGGAAACCACGGGCATTTTGAAGACTTCTTGAAATTGCCACTCTTGCAGTCCAAAGGTGGTTGTTTTATGGCACAACATTCAAGCCAGACATTGATCAGCTGTTAACCAGTAATGGGTTTATCATAGAGAGGGTGTGTAAGTCTCTGCCCAAAGGGAAAGATATCAGGGTCCTTTTTCCTGGAGTGAAGCAAAGGCACTACCAAGAGTGAATGGCAGTCTTCAGGTAAACAGGAGCCTTCCTTGACTTGGCAATTTCCAAGGCTGGATCTACACTGCTATAGAATATAAATCCAGTTTCTGAATCCAAATGATCAGGGTTGCTGTAGGTTTTTTGGGCTGTATGGTCATGTTCTAGAAGCATTCTCTCATGACGTTTCGCCTGCAGCTGTGGCAGGCATCCTCAGACCTCTAAGGATACCTGCAGGCAAAACGTCAGGAGAGAATGCTTCTAGAACATGGCCATACAACTTGAAAAACCTACAACAACCCAGTGATTCCAGCCATAAAATCCTTCAACAATACATCAAATGATCAGCTTTGAACTGGATTAGATGGTAGTGTAGACTCATATAATCCAGTTCAAAGTAGATAATCTGGATTCAGAAACTGGATTATATGAAAGCATTATATGAAAGCATCCTACTAGACCAATACTGCCATCATCTCAGAACAGGAAGATGGAAGTTGCACTCCAAAAGCTGACTCATACTTTGGTTGGAAAACACTTGGTTTGGTGATTAAGGATGTTACCTGGTTGGCTAACAAAGGGGACAGTGAACCCAGGCAACTAGCAAATCTCTTGTGCTTCTTCCAATGTCATGACTATTGGGAAACCTATGATAATAGGGTCGGAGCTGAGGCAAGTTAGTTTTTCAATGACAGCTTGCAGAATCCCTCCATTGAGTATGTAGATTTCCGAAGCTCTGAGTAAGATTTGTAATGAAGAACGAATCGAGGAATGCTATCAAATGTTTGGAAGGGTGCACAAGAGTGTGCAGCCACTCAAAAACATTGAGTTGGAAAGGATTTGAAAACCTACTCCATCTCTGAAAGGTGGATGTCTAGCCCTTGTTTGAATATCTCCCACAACTGCCTTGTTTGAGAGGTTATGTATTCTGCTCTAATCGTAACAATATTCTCCCTTGAGATTTAGGTGGAATCTCTTTTCTTGTAATCCTTAGCTTCTCCATCTTTGAAAGTGGGCTCTGCGTGCCTTCCAACATTTTGAGTGCATACTTCCTTGAACTTCTCAAAAACCAGCACCATTTCCTGGGAAATGGCAAACGAGTGAGTTGAAGAATGCAAGACTAAATGGGCATAAAATGTTGGGCCTAATATAACATTGGACCAATGGGAGAAAATGTGGAACAAAGGGTTAAAATGTATGTTGTGTTATGATTTAAAAGAGAATTTTCACAAAATGATGCATCGATGGTGTAAAGGTAAAGGTTTCCCCTTGACATTAAGTCCAGTCAAGTCCAAATCTGGAGGGTGGTCGGCATGATTGCATGGAGTGCCGTTACCTTCCCACCGAAGCGGTACCTATTGCTCTAGTAGCGGTACCTATTGCTCTACTCACATTTGCATGTTTTTGAACTGCTAGGTTGGCAGAAGCTGGGGTTAACGACAGAAGCTCACCCTGTCCTGCAGATTCAAACCGTTGACCTGAGTTCAGAAGCTCAGTGGTTTAACCCGCTGCATCACTATGGCCCCATCAATAGTGTATGACACCTGAAAAGCTTTCTCAGATGCCTAAAGAGGTTTCCAACACTTGCTGGAAATGTCAAAAGCAAGTAGGATCTTTCTACCATATCTGGTTGACGTAAACATGCCAAGAAATTGGGTTGCTGTGAGTTTTCTGGGCTGTATGGCGATGTTCCAGAAGCATCCTTTCCTGACATTTTGCCCAAATCTTTGGCAGGTATCCTCAGAGGTTGTGAGAGCTCCTTTGGAAACTAGGCAAGTGGGGTTTATATACCTGTGGAATAATGTCCAGGGTGGGAGAAAGAACATTTTTGAAAGGCTGGAAACTTTTTATTCACCTTTTGCCAAGGATTTGCCAATGTTCTGTTTTGAAGAATTATTTGAGGGTTTGGGGTGTTTTGTTTGAGAAAGGAGTCAACATTGGAAGGCCTGGAAGGTGAAGCCTATGTTGTTTTTGTTTGGCGAGGTGAGGATAGATCAGAGATCATCGATTTTTAATTTTCTTTATTCTTTCTCTTTTTTTCTTGGAATTTTTTGGTGTTTCTGCTCTATATATTTTTTCTTGATTCATTTTTTTTACCTTTAATATAACTTTTAAAACTTTTTAATAAAGTTATTTTTTAAAAAAACAGCACAATTTCTATCCTGTAGTAAAGCTGACTCAAATCATTTTGTCTATAACTCACTCTCTTGCTTTCTCGTACCTCACCAAACAGCAAGATCCCATTCTGCCACCTTCTGGTGACTCTGTGCTCTAAGGAATTCTGGTTTTCATCAGCCTGATAGGCCAGGCATGGATAAACTTTGGCCCTCCAGCTGTTTTGGCCTTCAACTCCCACAATTCCTAACAGCCTCAGGTCCCTTCCTTTTCCCCCTCGGCCACTTAAGTGGAAAAGGAGAAGAAAAGGAAGGGGCCTGAGGCAGTTAGGAATTGGGGGAGTTGAAGGCCAAAACAGCTGGAGGGCCTAAGTTTGCACATGCCTGTGATAGACTGTAAAATAGGGCCCAGAGGACTGAAGGTCAGTTGAGCTAAGGATAGAAAAGCAGCCATCAGATGGCTGGCAAGTAGCCACTAAGCACAACAATTTAGCCTGTACCTGCGGAGATATAGCCACTTTGATAAAAGGAGAAATGATCAAGTTTCTCTATAGTCAGGGAGCAATATTTCAGGACAGTGTAAGTAGTATAGTTCTGTCAGTAAAACTCAGTTCTTCATTCTGAGAGGAGAGCATCCAACTAGAAAGGCAATCTAGAAGTTCTTTTCTACTCTCTAAAGTAGCATCTCAAAGCTACTTTAGAACCAGGTTGCTGTGAGTCTTTCGGGCTGTATGGCCATGTTCCAGCAGCATTATTTCCTGGGGCAAGCATCCTCAGAGGTTTGTTCAGAGGTCTGTTGGAAGGGGTGGGGGATATTTCACTATCTATATCAGAGCTTGAAAATGTTACCTTTTCTTTTTGGGCAACACTTCACAGTACTAGACTTGTTCTCCAAGCTAATCCTGAGTCCTGAAGACCAACCTAACTTGAAGCTGCCATATTTATAAAAGGAGGGGAAAGCCAGGGAAAGCACTATCCCTCAATCATTGACTTAGAACCTAGGAAGTTGGTTTTGTTTTGGTTTTTTTTCTGGACTGCAACTCTCAGAATCCCAGTGGCTGGGGCATTCTGGGATCTGGTAGTCCAAAAAAAGGCAACACTTTTAAGCTCTGCATTTATTCTTTCCAACCAATGTGTCCATGCTATCACTGAACCCCAAGCATACCACAGGGCATTTCCGGGTCCGGAACAAGAGATATGGGAAAAAACCATCTCCTAGGTGTGCGAGGCCAAGGACACACCTCCAAATATAGAAGACCTTCAAATCACTTGAATTTTTAATACTGTTATGTTTTGCATATTAGTATATTTTAAACTGTGTGGTCATACTTTTTATGTGAGCTACTTTGATTCTCCTTTGGGAGAGATAAAGCGGGGTATAAATATAACAACAACAATAACAACAACAATAATAATAAGTGATTTAAGGCGGGGGACACCTCAAAGCAGAGTTCTCCATTCAATATGGCAAAAGATAACCATGCTCAAAAGGAAAGCCTAGAACTGCCCTATGCAATGACTGAGCAGGGACTACATCTGCCACAAGAGAGAAACAGCTAGCCACCATTTCAGTACAGAGGAGCACCTGTGCACAGAAAGCCGTCAAGAGTCCTTAGAAGGAAGAGAGAAGTGAAAGAAGTGTTTGCGTACCTTGCTACCTTCTTGCTCGAGAGCCTCTTATTTGGACTGTGGAAGGAAAACAGGAAAACTAAGTCAGGGAAAACTGACACCAACGAGCAACAGCGAAACAGGAAGCAAGCGAAGACAGAGCAGCAAGGCCATATCCTTTACAGTTAACAGCACCATACAGAAAACAAAACAAAAAACCAGTCCGCAAAACACAGCACGCCCCGTGCATGCAACGTGTGCACTCTGCATAGCAAAACCTGGGCAGAGGCCACACGCACACACAGTTTTAATAGCAGTTTCATATCAGAACCAAGTGGTCAGAGGTATGCGGTGCCCGAAGAAACGTCAATGGCTCCGCTCACAGCTCAAATGATCATCTCTCCGAGCTGCCGTTCACAGGCTCCGTTCTGAAAACAGATATCTTGGCTAAGAATAGAACTGGAGTTTGGTGGGACTTTGGCCCAGGACACCGGCTCGTGCTCCATTCAAACCCACCTGGCTGTTCATGCTGACAGTGGTTTCTGTGCCCCAAGAGTGCACTGAAAGCCTGCTACATACACAGGACACTCAGAACATAACTGGGTTCTATGTGCTTCAGGGAAAAAAAACACCCGCAATAAAAAGGTAAAGAAGGTTGCAGACCTGTCTGGGAACGCCTAAGGCAGGCATGTCCAAAGTCTGGCCTGGGGGCTGATTGCCCATGTCTAAATTTCCACCGGCCCACAGCCTCTATCATAAAAGCAATAGTTTATTTTAATGTATTGATATGTTATGATTTTTATGATTTTTTTTACTGATTTTAATGTATAATGTATATTATATTTGTGTGTTTGCATTTATTGTGACATTGAATTAATGCCAGTTTGGAAGCTGCTCTTAGTCCCCTTCGGGGTTGAGATGGAGCGGGGTAAAAATACAGTAAATAAAAAAATATGTAGCCCGCCAGCACAGTTGACCACAGTATAAAATATACATGTTCCAAAAAGCTATTTTCTATCTTACCAGAAGATGGTATTAACCACAGTTTTGGTTATGTATTGAGTCTTTTCAATCCATGTGTCATTTGTTCTTTTGTTTTTCAACTTACAATCAAACCAGGTCTTGTCAACCTGATAGATTAAATATTTAAATCAAATTTGGTCCAGCTACCCATTTTTACATTTCGTATGTTAGATCCAAGTCTAAAATTGAAATAATGAAAAACATGCCTTTTTTGTTTTGAATATCCGATTCAAAATCAAATAACGTATTTTGATTTTTAAATTATTGATAGTTAACTGAAAATGAAAGAACGAGAGATACACAGATTCATATGGCCCTCTGTATTTTGTACTCCGGAATAAGATAACTGTTAGTGTTATTTTCCTGTTCACATGTTTTGAATTTAGAAGTTAAGGTGAGCGTTTAATAGTGAATAATATGTAATGTTTCAAATGAGCCTAGATATGTTTAGTCTCCCGGGTGGACTTTTTCTTCGTTTTATGTGTTCTTCAAAGAGGAAAGGCAGAGTGATTTTTATAAAAACTTGTTTAGATTTATTAGTGTTTTGTGTGAAGAAATGAAAATTTCCAAAATTTCATAAAACAGTTCATTTGCATTTAATGTCAATGGTTTGAAGAATGAACGGCCAGCCCCTACAAATTTCCCCTCGGCAAAAAATTTGTACAGCAGCTGGACAGTCCTTTCGGGCAGAAGCCTCTGCAGACAGGAAGAAGGGCAGAAATGCAGACAGAGAAGGGAAATGTCCATAACAGACAGGAGAAGAAGGGACTGAATCCAAGAGCAAAAGTCCGAGAGGATTCTAGAAAGGATTCTTCTTTCAGATGAGTCTTCTTTCAGCAAAAGGCTCCTGAGACAACGAGATTGCTTCAAACATTTATCTCAGGCCTGGGCAAACTTCGTCCCTCCAGAGGTTTTGGACTTCAACTCCCACAATTCCTCACAACCTCAGGCCCCTTCCTTTTCCTTTTCTTTTCCACTTAAGCAACTGAGGGGGGAAATGAAGGGCCTGGGGCTGTTAGGAATTGTTGTTGAAGTCAAAAACACATGGAGGGCTGAAGTTTGCCCATGCCTGATCTCTCTGGAAGTCCTTCAGGACCGCTCTGAACAACGATGCTTTCACATACAGACCAAAGCATTACTTGTAAGAAGCCGTCTGCACCTGTTCCTCATAACAATATTTTAGAAATAATTCATTGTAATTACTCTTTTCAATGTCAGGAGTCACTTCATGCCCCATTTCATATTTTTTAAAAAACACTTCTCATTATAGCATGACAGTCATATCCATGGGGGATACATTGCAAGCTTTGGTTATGTTTTTAATGGATTTTAACTGGAATTTTTTAAAAAAATACTATTTATTTTTATTTCTAATGTTTGTGTATTTGTAGATTTTAAACTGCAGTGAAAGGCTTTTAATGTAAGCCACGTTGAGTCTCCTTGTTGGAGAGAAAAATAATAAAAACAGCAGCAACAACAACAACAACAACACTATTGGCATTAGCGTGCACTATTGAAATGAAAGACTTCAGGCACAAGAACACAAGAGCCATAGAGAACCTAGAAGTGCCCAAAGAGGGCATGTTTGGTCAGATATGGATGTATGAAACTGTAGATATTAGTCTCATATATATGGGGTGGCAGTAGATATACTGTACTTTTAGAAAGAAAAAAATTACTTGGTGTGATAAGAACATGGTACAAAACAAAACAAAAATCTTGTTGAAACATTTCCAAAAACACAATTGGAGAGTAACTTTCAAAGCATTACTAATCACATAATTCAGGTTTGTTGTATTGCTTTTGAAATGTAACATTAACCCCCCCCCCCTGTTGCTCTCTCCCCCAATAACTCATTATAGGAAGCCATGCTGTTCATCATCAGAAACCAATCTGTGGCTTCCACATTAACACCAAGAAGTAAAGTTCTCTGAGTGTCTATGTGAGAATGAGCAGGTCTGCAACCCAGTGCAAACATATGCTTTTGACATATACACGTATAGTGGTTTGCAGAACACTACGGAGAGACACAAGCAGGACAGGGAGGGTCCATCTGTGCCAGAATGCACAATCTCTGTTTCAACAGGAACGTAAGGCTTGCACATGTCAAGACGCAACATCAACCAACCCCCATACACTGTTTGTGCCACTTGTGGTTCATGCAACGATGAATGTGCATCCAGGACTCACTACAGTTCTCTGGCAGCAGGCATCACAGGCAGCAAGACATCTTTGCCCTGCATATTGTGTGAATTGACCCTTGGAAGGAAAAAAAAACAGACAGGATGGGAGATGGGAAGAAGGGGGCAATTCCAGCAATGGTGGGAAATATACACTCTGATTGGAAAGGTCTTCTCTACGATGGCTCCAGAGAACCCAGTTTATTCCTGTCTTTTCCATACACACTCCCAATGGGATAGAAGTTGCATTTGAGAAGCGACTAACTATTGGGGAGTCTGTCTTCATTCAGACATTTATTTTTCCCCCAGTATAGAAATAGCTTCCTAAAGAAGTGCATTTATTTGTTTTTTGTAAAGTGCTATCAAGTTGAGTTTGATGACTCTATGAAAGAGAGCTCTCAAAGTCCTTTATCCTCAACAGCAAACTCAGAGTCTCAGCTTCCTTCATGGAGTCCCACCATCTACAGTGTGGTCTTCCCATTTCCTCAGTGCTCCCATGTAATCAAGCATTTTTTTTTCCAAGGGAGCCATGCCTTTCATTTCCTTCATACAGTTCTTCAGCATATCATTTGCATCCTCTTTTTATTTGACTTGGTGTAATATGTTCTTCTGCTGCTTGTAGACCATCCTATTCTTGGTTTAAATTTCCTTTTGATTTCTCAGATCTTGTGGAAGCAGTCTCTTCTTTTTTTCTTATTATCTTGCATTTCTCTACACTGATAATTATCATACTTCTCTTTGTCCCTGCTCAAAGCTAATGAACAATTTGCCTTCAACATATGAACAGCTGTCTAATCATAGGGTATTTGTTGTGTCTGAGAGATCGTCTGTTTGTGTCAAGTTACATGAAGCTTGAAGACCTTTAGTCTGCTATTTGTCTTCACCTAGAAGTCTCTGAACATACAGATTAGCTCTGAGGAACCCATTATTTCTGAACCTTGCATGACTTGAAAGGTAACCTTTACATTTTGAAGGTGCAATGCTGCTTCACAAGTAACTTACCATTTTGTGTGCCTTTTCTAAGGCACTCACGTTGCAGCAAGCAAAAGCAAGCTATATATAACACATGTTCATACAATCTTTTCCTTGTGAAAATTTACCAGATTTAGGAGGACCACATGTTTCTTTGCCTATGTTTTTCTAGTCACTACCCACAAGTGACAACACAATATTGAGCAAGTGGCTCTCTCCTCCTTAATATCCAAGTCCTAAAGCTCTCCTTTCCTCTCCTGAATCCTCATCTCTTACCAGCTGGCAGCCTCTTCATCCTTTGCTAACCTCGCCAGACTGGCACTCAAAGAAAGAAAGCCACAAAGTGGGCATTGAGATATCGGGTTGTGTACACAACAGTAAAACACGCAAAGAGGGTTTCTTGTAAAGGAAGAAAATGCATGCATCCAAAAGGAAGGATTCTCATGACAAATGTTCTTGCTATGATCTTTGGTATTGCCAAGAATAGTTGCCATTTCTGAAGGGTTTGAAATGGATTTTCACAAGCAATGCTGACACCCCTTGCTCTCCAAAATGTCCACTTCTGAAGTTGAAGGGTTAACTCTTTTAATATACTGTATTGCCAGGCACTGAAAATGCTTGCGATTGAGAAAGCAGCATTTGGTTCCCCCCATTCATGAATGTGGGGTTGGCATCTCCCATGCAAGAAAATAGTGGATATGACGTGAGAGGTGAGGAATGTGTGGTTCTTCCATGGGCTGTTGGGTTGCAGGTCCCAGCCATTCCTGCAAAGATCACCAACGGTGAGTGATTGTGGAAACAGCATCTGGCCACACATGGAAGGCCAGAGTTATCCACCTTTGTGCTAAGAAAAGGGAGTTGGGTTTTAGGTGGGAGGAACTGATGAAATGCACGATGTACAGTGAAGGGTCTGCAACCACTTCGCATAAGTGAGGACAACCAGTGTAAGCAGTGCTTGAGAAAACGAGCTCATAAAAGCCTCAACACCAGTGGGTGAGATTTGCCCCAGGTGTCGGAGTCAGCGAGACAGAGGCTATCATGTGAATCAAGAGCATCCCTAATAGCCGCCCAATCACATAAGACAAAACTGGCCTTTGCCTTAAATAGAAGCCAGTACACACACTTGGCCCAAAGGTATCAAGCTAAATGAGAGTCCTTCCTTTCCCAGGAACAGAAATCATCATGCGTTCAAAGAGCGGCGCCATGCTCCCAACAGTTACCTATTCATTTCAAGATCGCTTAGGCGAGCAGAGAGATCCTCGAGGCGGTTGATGTGTTTGTGGCACTGGGTACAGTAAAACTCAAACGCCTCGTCAGTGATAATGCTGTGCAGTTTCGCGGCAAGTGGGTTGGTGCTAGAAAAATCACAAGTGACATTCTTTTTAAAGGAAAGAGAACAGAACACATCAGGCCAAGCTTGGATTCCACCTGTGGCTTCCAAAAGTTGATGAACTGCATCCGTTCTGGCAAGGAACCCGTTTTTGAAAATAAATTTTAGGAACAAGAGGAGGTTTTTGGTTTTGGTGGGTTTTTTAAAGGATAAAAGCCAGATAAAGTAATTCCAAGAAATGTCAGTCCCAAACATCCATCAGAGATCATTAGGAAGTGAGTCACTGCCTGTTTCTAGTGCAGAAGACCAGCAGAGCCAATACTTGTCCTGGGTGCCTCTTCTTGCTGAAAGCCTAGGCTCAGTTGCCTGTAATGACACCAGAAAAATCACATTTTTCTGGAGAAATTAAAAGGGTGCCAAGACAACTGTCAAGGAGAGAGAATTTAGTTCAAGGTGATTATTATTATTATTATTATTATTATTATTATTATTATTATTATTATTATGTATACTCTGCTTTATCTCCCCTGAAGAGGACTCAAAACGATTAGAGAAGAACTGGGCAAACTTTGGCCCTCCAGAGGTTTTGGACATCAACTCCCCCAATTCCTAACAGCCTCGGGTCCTTTCCTTTTCCTCCTCAGCCACTTAAGCAGCTGAGTAGGAAAAAGAAGGGGCCTGAGGCTGTTAGGAATTGTGGGAGTTGACGTCCAAAACCTCTGGAGGCAGGACTGAAGTTTGCCCAGGCCTGGATTAGTGGGTAACAAATGTGGTAAAGGGAAGCAGCTTGGAGAGTGCCTCTTTCTCCAAGGAGGACTCTCTGACAAGCGGCCCAATTTGGATGTCACCTCCGAGCATTTGTCGAGCAACTGGAAGCACATCAAAATAACTCAAACACAATGCTCTGCTCTCAGTGTGGCGCCCTTGGAAACAGCTAGCCATCTCCATTCCAGATTGACCCAAACTTCATGCAGCAAGATCAACAAGAGAATGGAACCAGGGCAGAGCAGAACTGTGGATTATCTTTTTATAATTAGACTAAGGATAAACTTTCTCTTGGAGAAAATGGATCCTGCTCAAAGCATGAGCTGATGGTCCAAAGGGGGCTGTAGCTCAGGGACAGAAAATTATTATTATTATTATTATTATTATTATTATTATTATTATTATTATGTTTATTTATACCCCCCTTTTTCTCTGCACCAGGAGACACAGGAAAGATGGTCCCATGTCCAAAGCCTGGCATCTCAGCCAAATAAAGCAGTTCCAGCAACATCAAGTCACCAAAAGGCAGGACACTGCTGGATGGTTAAATGGTCAGGAAGGTGTGGCACATGGTAGCCGCAGCACACTGGTTCCTGTGGAACCTGGATCACCATCAGTAGGAGGGGAGTGCTTTTTTTTTTTTTTTTTTTTTGCTGTTATGAAAGCAAAGAGGAGTGTCTTCCTGGATGGTTCCTCCTCCTCCACAACAATGGAGAGAGTAAAGGTAAAGGTTTTCCTTTGGCATTAAGTCTAGTTGTGTCCAACTCTAGGGGTTGGTGCTCATCTCCATTTCTAAGCTGAAGAGCCGGTGTTGTCTGTAGACACCTCCAAAGTCATATGGCCAGACATGACTGCATGGAGCGCTGTTACCTTCTTGCAGAAGCGGTATCTATTGATCTACTTACATTTGCATGTTTTTGAACTGCTAGGTTGGCAGAAGCTGGGGCCAACAGTGGAAGCTCACCCCACTCCCTGGATCTGAACAGCTGACCTTTTGGTCAGCAAGTTCAACAGCTCAGTGGTTTAAGCCGCTGCACCACTAGGAGCTCCTAACCGAGAGGGTAAAGGAGTACAAATGGGAGGGGAGATGAAGCCAGGAATGAACTTCTGGTCCTTTCCACACCAGCAAAACCACTCCATATTTGTATCAAGGGCATTCACATTGCCTTTTGCATAGCAGGGGGTTGGACTAGACAGCCCATGTGGTCTCTTTCAACTGTATGATTCTATGATTCCTCTACCCACCCTTGTCCTAGAATGAGTTGGACAGCTAGCTCGGTTAGACCAGAGGACCAATCTTCACCCGCTTCCACAATGGTCTAAAATTGACCAAAGTGCCCACCTCATTCTTGGACACACGTGGCCAGAGGATCTACTGGGAGACCATTATTCTCTTTGGTTCTGTTATTCCAAAATATTCATGGCCTCAGACTTTAAAAAAATCCCTTCTGGGCAAGCAATTTTGCACTTCTCAAACATAAAGTTGATTTCATTTGTTGGAGCCTGGCCACTCGGACATAATAAGACAGCTTTTGGTGCATGGAAGGCTAATAAGGTCTCCAAGTGGAGCTTAGACATGGTTGGCACTTTTGCAAGCATCAACGCAGTCCCAATGGTCTCTGGCAGCTCTCTCTGATGCTTGGGACTAGAATTGTTGACCCCTTCCCCAAAAAAATGGCAGTCAAATCTCAACATTTGGCTGAGAGAGCAATGCATGTGCTCCACATCCCTTTCCATTGAGAGAAACTTCTGGAAGCCACACGGTCCAATCGGAGATATGTTACTAGTGAAAACAGTGACCAGGAGATTGAATTAAACAGACAGACAGATAGACGCACAGAAATGTGAGCAGGCAAGAAGAAGGTTAGATTCAGACTCCTGGAAAGAAAGGCAGTGAGGTGGCTTTTGTGCCATATGATCTCAAGAAAGATTTATTTTCCTGGCACCCACGCAGATTAACTAAAGGGAGTTCCAGCCTAATGCAAAACCCAAGGGCTTTCACCTCAATGTCTCCAAATAAAAGCCTTTCCTACATTATCGTGGCTTCGCGTCAAGATACTGATTTCTGATCCAGCTTTTTAATTCCTCCAACTCACTTTTCTTGTAAAGGGTTAAAGGAGGTTCTTGCTTTGGAACCTGTTTAATGAAGTGTTCCAAGGGAAGATGCAGCACCCGCTTGAGCTTTATTAGTAAAGGGATGTGTTTCATGAGGACAGCGGGAGGAAAAGCAGAGAAACAAACATTCATGATACACAGTACCATGGGAAATGGCTATCGCTGCCTCTTCTGGGCAATGAAAGGGTCAAAACGCCTTCCTTGCAAACTTGGGAAAGTAGGGGGTGGACTTCAAGTCCCATAATTTACCTGCCAGAATGGATGTGCTGGTTGGTTGGTAAACTCTAGGAGTCGTAGTCCAAAAAAGACAGTCTCCAAAACCCTGACGCTGACACCAGCCTTCTATCATCTTCTGTAGGCAATTTCCCCAACTTGCCTCCAGATGTATTTGGAGACAACCCTCACCGTTCCTGCTATATAACCACTATCAACCATTCCAGATCAATAAGCAAGATCATTTCTTTAACGACAGAGTCCGAACATGAAGTGAAACCTGGAAAGGGTATTTCTCTCTCACTGGATTGTAACATCCCTGTAGATGTCCATTTTCAAAATCGGCATGCAATCATTCTACATTGCTATTCCTACTTTGTACTGCTAGGTTAATCTGTGGAAGGATGGCTTGATTCAGTCCAATCTCCTAGAACAGAGGAAGGAATCCATGCCCAGAAGAAACACATATAACCCATGAGGTCACAGAAACATTCCAGGTGATATGATATATTTTGAACAGATCAGGGATTTCATTAGTAGACAAACCATTAGTAGACAAACCCAAACTGTGGCATCAGAAATATACAAACTTCCTTCAGCAAAACCTGGTTAGAATTCCAGCCCCGAATCAGACATTTCTTCCAGTTCACATGTAGTACTGCAAACAGGTTTACTCCACACTCCTTTGACTCCTATCATAACAAAGGTTATGATGATCTAGCCCAGGCATGGGCCAACTTGGGCTCTCCAGGTGTTTTGGACTCTAACTCTCACCATTTTTAACAGCCTCAGATCCTTTCCTTTTCACCCTCAGCCGCTTAAGCTGAGCTTAGTACAGCAACCTAAACTGCTAAGCTGCAGAAAATCTTGCTGATCAAAAGATTGGCAGTTCAAGCCCAGGTCGGGGTGAGCACCCGTCATCAGCCCCAGCTCCCTGCCCACCTAGCAGATCAAAAAAAGATAAATAGGTACCGCTTTAAAGTGGGGAAATAATAAAAGGCGACCATAAGGACATGCCTGTGATTCAAGGACATCTAAGAATGACAAAGCTCCTCGGCGTGGAATATGGAGTAACAACACCCCCCCTCCCCGGCAGCCAGAGTCAAGCACAGCCTTTAAGATGCTGGAAATGGAAAAGATGGGGAAATCCTTTACCTCTGTTTCTATATTGTCTTTCCTTGTTAATTGTATAATAGCATTGAATGTTTGCCATATATGTGTTCTCAGGGAAATAGAGCGGAATTATTATTATTATTATTATTATTATTATTATGTCCATAACACCTGGAGGGCCCAAGTTTGCCTATGCCAGATCTAGCCTCCTCTTTGTCAATGGTTCACTAAGTGGGAGAGAAACACATTCTCTCCCATTTGGAAGGCATAAAAAAAACAAAAACCTGGGCACTTGCAGTCTTTAACAGCTATCAATGATTGACGCTTTCCCTCCAGCCGTTTTCTTGTCCATTAATGATTTTCAGTTAATTACTGAATGTGCTTCAGTTAGTTACTGAAAATGCATCTATCTCAGAGACAGGCAACTTTCAAAGACCCACTGACCGCAGTTCCCAATGCTATCTATGGGATATGATACAGAGCATCCCAACACTTGGCTACATGAATTGATTTACACCCGTAAGGACATAATAAGCCCATAAGAAACTTCCTTTTGAAAGCCAGAAATGGCGGCATGAAAACCAGGCCACTTCCCCAGGAGTGGGGTGAAATATGGAGCAGATGATGCAACCGTTCCTTTCTGGCAAGAAAGTGTGGTGGAATACCCCAACTTTCAACTTTCACGCCGCTTCAATCATATCCAGCTCATAGTACAAGTAGCATTCTTTTGGCTGGAGCAGGAAAATACCTTCTGGTTTCCACCCTGCGATTCCTGACTCTGCTTATGAAATTCTCTGCATGGGCAGCCCAAATGCAAAGGTGGGACAAGATGAAGGGAACTACAGCACATCATGCCCCAAAGGCACTTGGGTGCCTGGCAAACTGCAACTGGCCCCTGCAAGAATTTGTGTTTGGACCCTCCCATCATTCACCAAGCCACCCTTTTCCTCCCAGGAAACAGAAAAGTTGAGCTTAGGGACAGAATATAAAGAGGCCGAGCTAGTTCAGAGTTTGTGCATTCAGTGGGCTGCTGTGAGTTTACCGGGCTGTATGGCCATGTTCCAGAAGCATTCTCTCCTGACATTTCGCCCACATCTATAGCAGGCATGCTCAGAGGTTGTGAGGTCTGTTGGAAACTCGGCAAGTGGGGTTTATGTAAAATCCCTGTGGAGTAATGTCCAGGGTGGAAGAAAGAACTTTTGTCTGTTAGAGGCAAGTGTGAATGCTGCAACTGGCCACCTTGATTAACACTGAATAGCCTTGCAGCTTCAAAGCTGGCTGCTCCCTGCATGGGGGAATCCTTTGTTGGGAGGTGTTAGCCGGCCCTGACTGTTTCCTGTCTGGAATTCCCCTGTCTTTTGAGTGTTCTTCTTCATTTACTGTCCTGATCCTGGTGTTTTTTAAATACTGGTTGCCAGATTTTGTTCATTTTTAGGGTTTCGTGACTGCAAGGCCATTCAATGATAATCAAGGTGGCCAACTGCAACATTCACACTTGCCTCCAACAGAAAAGAGTTCTTTCTCCCACCCTGTACATTATTCCACACATACATACATATATATAAACCACACTTGCCTAGTTTCCAACAGACCTCACAACCTCTGAGGATGCCTGCTATAGATGTGGGCGAAACATCAGGTGAGAATGCTTCTGGAACATAGCCGGACAGCCCAGAAAACTCAGAGCAACCCAGTGATTCCAGCTATGAAAGCCTCCAAAAAGACATTGTGCATTCAGTGATTTACTGGATTTATACTGGAATAACTGCCAGGCCACATGATACATTTCAGTGCTATAAGACCTACAAGTTTAGAACTAGATTGCAGACTGCTGGTAGTTAAACGTAACAGTTGCTTTGGACACTGTGACTAAGGAGGGAAGGGAAAACAAGAGCTGGAATCCAGCAATACAAACATAGGTTGGCATGTTTACCTGGGAGAAAGGAAAGACGAGCTGCTGAAGCCGCTTTCTCCATTGCACAGGCTCTCGGAGAAGAGGTCCCCCTCGTTCCCTTCCCCATAGTCCTCAAAGTGCTCCTCCCCAGTAATGACGGTGACGATGGAGTGGCTGTTGATGTCGGAGGTCAAGGATAAGTCGTGGGAGGGAGATCTGTGGGCAGAAAGGCAAAGAGTCAAAAGAAGGGTCCGATCCTTGGCTGCACTCAAGCTCCCAAACCAGTGGCCAAAGCACCAAGGCAAAGGTGAGCAGAGCCTTCCAGAGGCTGGACTTCCTGATGTTATGATGCTTCTGTGGCAAAGGAAGGCAGGTGTATGAAAGATACATCATTATGAAGTTTTGCTGAAGGAATTCAATTTGAATTCAGTTGGTATTTGGCTGCTGCAGTCCTTTTGTCTGGGTTTACTGTGCTGGAATAATAATAATAATCATCATCATCATCATGGAGCCCCCGGTGGCGCAGTGGGTTAAACCCCTGTGCCGGCAGGACTGAAGACTGACAGGTCGCAGGTTCGAATCCGGGGAGAGGCGGATGAGCTCCCTCTATTAGCTCCAGCTCCTCATGCGGGGACATGAGAGAAGCCTCCCACAAGGATGATAAAACATCAAAAATCATCCAGGTGTCCCCTGGGCAACGTCCTTGCAGACGGCCAATTCTCTCACAACAGGAGCGGTTGCTCCTGACACGACAAAAAAAAAATCATCATCATCATCATCATCGGAACTTGTGCCTTAAATATCATCTGCCTGTGACAAAGAATTGGTGGGATCACATGCCTGAAAAAGTCACGGAAAATGAACATGTCAAACTACTCTGGGACTTCTGAATTCAGACTGACAGAGTTTTGGAGCACAATACTCCTGACCTCACAATCGTGTTAAAAAACCAAGTATGGACTGTCGATGTTGAATCCCAGGTGATAGCAGGATTGAAGAGAAACAACTGGAAAAGATGACACGATATGAGGATTGAAAAATAGAACTGCAAAGACTCTGGCACAAGCCAGTCAAGGTGGTCCCAGTGGTGATTGGTACACTGGGTGCAGTGCCTAAAGACCTTGGCCTGCACTTAAACACAATCGGCACTGACAAAATTACCACCAGTCAGCTGCAAAAGGCCACCCTTTTGCTGCAAAAGGATCTGCATGTATTATTCACCGATACATCACATAGTCCTAGACACTTGGGAAGTGTTCGACGTGTGATCCAATTCAACAACCAGCATAGTGATTTTGTCTGCTGTGTACTAATCTTGTTGTGTTTCAAATAACAATAATAAAGAAATTAGGTACCTCTGAAGTGGGGAGGTATTTTATGTCACCATAAAAGAAATACCAGAAAATGCCGGCGATCAAAGGAAGGAGGAAGCCTGTGATCAAGGGCTCTAGGTCACAGAGGATGGAGTGACATCACCCCCCTGTGGCCAGAATAGAGCACAACCTCCAGGACACCAAAGTTGGGGAAAATGCCGACATAATACCTCTATCTGTTGTCCGTCCTGTCTGTTTAATGGCATTGAATGTTTGCCGTGTATATGTTCTGTGATCTGCCCTATGTCCACTTCAGGGTGAGAAGGGCAGAATATAAATGCTGTAAATAAATAAATGGAGCTCCCGGTGGCACAGTGGGTTAAAGCAATGAGCTGCTGAACTTGCAGACCGAAAGGTCACAGGTTCAAATCTGGGGAGCAGCATGAGCTCCCGCTGCTAGCCTCAGCTTCTGCCAACCTAGCAAAAAAATGTGAATATGAGTAGATCAGTAAGTACCGTTCTGGCAAGAAGATAACGGTGCTCCATGCAGTCATGCTGGCCACATGACCTTGGAGGTGTCTATGGACAACACTGGCTTTTCGGCTTAGAAATGGAGATGAGCACCAGTCCCCAGAGTCGGACACGACTGGACTTAATGTCAGGGGAAAACCTTTTACCTTTATCTAAATAAATAAATAAATAAATAGCTCACCATGTAACTCCAAAAATTAGGGGTCACATGAGGCTTTCCCACTCCAATGGCTCTGAGTGAATGCGAACACACCTAACACAATGTGTAACAAGCAGACACTCCGTATGTTGCACTACAAAGCAATGGATTACAGCCTTGTTCACGGCAGGCAAAAAGGTAACAACGCCAGGCCATCAATGCACAAAAATGACTATGTATTCGAATACCTCACTACATGGAATTTGTCATTTCCAAGCACTGTTCTCATAAAGTAAAAGGGTTTGGAAAGGGATTTGTATATTAGTACCAGAACAGAGCCTTTGACCTAATGCTAAAGACTGGTCAACTTCATGGTCCGATGCGCCGATTAAACGGTTACTGCACTTCAGAGCTACCTAAGGTAATCCTATTAAGGGTGCAGAAGGTGGCATTTAACATGGAGAGTTGCCAGTGGCAGGTTATTCTGAAAAGCCAAAGGACAAGTCTTGTGCGCAAGTCTTGTTCAGGGAAATCCACAGGTTTGGGTGGTAGTTTTGCTCTCTTGGTCCAGGCAAGAAGTTGCCAAGCAGTGCTGGACAAGTGGTGCTCTTTCGCTTCCTTGGGAATTGGAATAAAGATCCTCTGCCTCACTAGGATGTCGCATCTTCGTATGATTGAAACAGATGGTGAACTCTGGGTTTGGAGGAAGTCCTTGTCTAAATGAAATGAGGGTGGCAACTTTGGACTGAAAAAGAGAGACTTGGTGGCCCTGAACCTCCATGTAATTCAAAAACAGGAAACTCGATGCTATTGCTGGCTGAAGGAATAGAAATGTACTGATACTGATAGACAGAAGAGATGTGCGATCTTCCTGGAAATGTGAGGAGTCAGCTTGTGTTTCCAACATTTCCCTATTCTCCAAGTGCTGATAACAAAGCTATAACAAACAGGAAAAGACACTTGAAAAAACAGTATCAATGAAAAAATGGGAAAAGAGAACATACAGAAAGACATTGTAAAAACTATATCCTATATTGCTCAGTTTTTCAATCTTTGGCTGGTCAGACAGATACACACACGCAGATTTGCTGCTCTGTTTGGGATTAAGTTTAAAGTGCGTATTGTAAGATATAACAAGATAGTTTTAACATATACTTTTGCTGTGAATATTTATTTCTTTATTTCTATCCCACTTTTCTCCTGGATTGGGACTCAAAGCAGTGCACACCATGCAAAAAGCCAAAACATAACCTACAACAATAAACAGCAGCATCATAGACATAATCCATAAAAACCATAAAAATCCACAGAAACGTGATTGACATCTAAACATAGAAACACAATTAAACAACCAATAGATTAAAATATATTAAAAATAGATTTAAAACCCCACCAAGTATCAGTTCATTTAGGCCGTAGTCAGGTCAATTGCCGGAGACCTATTTCAATCCAGATATTGCACGTGACAGATTTGGCATTTATTCTCCTTCAGGGAAGCCCTGTTTCCATGCACTATGCACTTGAAGTGATGTTGCTTTTCTACTGCTAAAGGCGCAGAAATTTTAGTACCAGCTATTTCTGGCCCTCTATCCGAAGTCCATATGTGGCCTAGAGTGCGATCAATCCATCTGAACCAACAGAAAGGACATCAGATACAAAGGGTAGATCTGAGACTTCGACATCATCACTTTTCTTTTCATCTGTCTTTTCCAACATTTTTTGCATGAGGGAGTTTTGCGCATTGCAATTGGGCAATATGATTACTTTTTAAAAAATAACTTCCTGACTGTGCGAGCTGTTCAGCAGTGGAACTCTCTGCCTCGAAGTCTGGTGGAAGCTCTTTCCTTGGAAACTTTTAAACAGAGGCCAGATGGCCATCTGTCAGGGGTGCTTTCCTTGTGTGTTTCCTGCATGGCAGGGGGGTTGGACTAGATGGCCCATGTGGTTTCTTCCAATGCTATTATTCTCTGATTCTATGAATGGTGGTAAAGGATTCTCACCCAAACCATTTTGCTAGGAAGCTTTACTTCTGGATTTTAGCATCCTATGAAACTTCAAGTGCTCCTTTGCTGCCTCAGTGTAATGTGCAGGTGGCCCCAAACTCTCTTATTGCTGTGGTGGCAAAGCACAAAATGTAACAAGTTCTATCAAGTGGAGAAGGCTTTGAGTACAACCATTGTGTCACACCACACTGCATAACAGTTCTCCAAGGGCTCATTTCTAGTCAGCTAGCAGGTAAGCAACTGGCTGTGAACACAATGGTGCTGTCAAATAATTGTTGCCCGTGTTCACGGAAGGCTAAAGTTATAGGTCTTTAAGGATTGTGTAGCTCACAATGGAGCTTAGGGTAGCAAGCACCGAAGGAAACCTCAGTTAGCATGCCTATCACAGAAACAATACCACAGTAGGGTTGCTGCGAGTTTTCCGGGCTGTGTGGCCATGTTCCAGCAGCATTCTCTCCTGATGTTTTACCTGCATCTGTGGCTAATGGCATCTTCAGAGTTCTGTTGGAAGTGAGGCAAGTGGAGCATATATATATCTGTGGAATAATGCTCAGAGTGGGAGAATGAACTCTTGTCTGTTTGAAGCAAGTGTGAATGTTGCAATTAGCAAGCCTGAACAGCACTGAGTAGCCATGAAGCTGCAAACTCAATAAGTGAGGGTATCTGCATAGAGGTAGCCTGGCCCCAGTGGCCTGGAGGCACTCTTTGTTTGTGGCTGGTGGGAAGGAGAGAGGGGACCTGCTCTGTGATCTCTCCCCACCTTTGGAACTCCCTTCTAAAAGAACTAAAACTGCCCCCTCCCTCTTCGCCTTTAAAAAGTTGCCAAAAACACACTTATGCACTTTGGCATACGGAAGGAAGACTAATATGTTTCAATATTTACCATCATCTAGATATGTTAAATCCTACCCAGATACCGGAATTGATTTCAGCCTGTTAGCTGTTGGAATGATCCCACCTTTTAACAAGGCCTTAGTATGACATGTTTCATCCTCTTAATTTATACTATGTGATTATGTTGGTTATGGGTCTATTTAAGTTGTTTGTTTGTTTTTTTTTTTTGGTTAATTTATTTGGTATTAAGTCTATAGTTAGGTCGTGTGTATATTGTTGATGTATTTTGTTTTGATGTAATTTGTTCATATGTTCTTTGTAGGCATTGAATATTAGCCGTGTGTGTGTGTGTGTGTGTGTGTGTATTGGAAACCATCCTGAGTCCCTTCATGAAGATATGGTGGTCTATAAATAAAGTTTTATTATTTTTATTATTTAAAAACCTTGGAAATAAATGAGGGCAGAAACAATTTTTTTGTCTAGCTAGCATTTTAGAAGGTGGCAGAAGAGAGACAAGTGAAGCCCCACTGCCTTTCAATGATGGGCCTAGAGGCACACTGGCACATTCAATCCCCTTTTCTCAATGGAAACCCTGTAATTTTTGATTTACTGTGTATTTTCGTAGCATTGAATTGTTGTCTTTTATTTTGGAAGCCACCCCAAGTCCCCATGGGGAGATGTGGCGGGACAGAAATAAAATTTGATTGATTGATTAATAGATGGATGGATGCATAGATGGGTGAAGGGATGAATGGATGGACATACAGATGAATGGATAGATAGATGAACAGACGGATGCATGGAAGGATGCATAGATGGGTATGTGGAGGGATGGACAGACAGACGGATAAATGGGTGGATAGACGGGTGGATGGAGGGATAGATAGATAGATAGATAGATAGATAGATAGATAGAGACAGACAGACAGACAGACAGACAGACAGACAGACAGATGCCTTTGTACCTACAGGCAGGAGAGTCCCAGGCACTGAGCCATGGTCCCAGGTGAAGGTCGATCCGAGCGGACCCAGGCGGGCATGCTTGTTTATTCTCTCCTCAAAAAGGGGCCCTTTGGTGGCTTTGCAGCTCGGAAGGAAGCCGATTATAGGCGGAGGGTTAGCAACCGCCCGGATCTTTACAGCAAAGAAAGTGGCAGCCCGCTAATCCCGCCCCTCACCCCCAGCCGGCCGCTTTAATCCTCAGTGTCTCCAACGACAGGACACTCTTTCACTCCAGCTTCAAAAAGCTCGGCTTTCTCCAGTGTCTTGCTTGGAACAAGTGGCTGGATGTCTTATTCCAGGAATTCTATGTAGGGGTCCTTTCACACTATGTAATTATATACAGCATGATGATGACACTCCCACTACCATGGATACATTCTAGGTAAACATCAAGCGAGCACTTTAGGGAGGCACCTCTGAGCAAACTACAAATCCCAGGATGTGGTTGGATGCCAGTTAAACCAGAATCATTGCACAGGTGCAGAATGTGATGGGACCCACTGAAGCAAAGCATTTTGGACACAGGCATGGAGAGGGGGTGTGTTTAACCTCAATGAACTGTCTGCACCAACCGGGCTTTGCAAGCTGAATGCATAAACAGCAGCTGCTTCGCTGAGAAAGAGCACAATTGATGTGAAGAGGACAAATGCTGCCATAATCCATTTGTCCATTTCCCAAAGACATCTGGCTGCTGCTAGAAAATCAGGTGTCGGCTTAAGCTTGGGCACAGATGTACATTTCCAGAATTTCAAAGTCATAAACATTTTTTTTAAACTCCCCTTTGGGAGGAGTGAAAACATGATATTAACATCCTTTACAGAATAAAAATAATATTATGTACATAACACAATACAATTACATCGTTTTGAATTATGAAATTTTGAATTTCCTCTGCTCTTCCACAGAGTTGAGCAGGCATAAAGCGTCCATTCCCTTAAAACAAACAGGTAAAACAACACCAAGACCAGGGATTGCAATAACTGGAGAGAGTATACACCAGGCATGGGCAAACTTGGGCCCTCCAGGTGTTTTGGACTTCAACTCCCACAATTCCTAACAGCCTCGGGCCTCTTCATTTTCCCACTCAGCCACTTAAGTGGAAGGGGCCTGAGGCTGTTAGGAATTGAGGAAGTTGAAGTCCAAAACACCTGGAGGGCCCAAGTTTGCTCGTGCCTGGTATACATAGACCTATGTAAAAGTCTTCACCCCCTTTGTGCCTCTTAAGGACTGGCTTAACAAGAACCTGTTTGCTTGTTTATTGGTTTGTTTACACCCTTGAGATTCAAAGGGAGTTGAAACAGATACAGCAATGAAAGTTCTCTCTTCTTTTGTACACTTCAGAAACCAAGGGGGAAATTACCTACCCATTCTCGGGTTCCTCAATGGGGTCTGTGAACTCTGAGTGCACCGCGGAGTCAATGGCGCTGTCCGTTTCTATGTCGTCATGCATCTCGTGGTGAACCAGGGTGCCGGTGTCCTCGTCCGTGAAGGTCTCACACTCGCTGTAGGTGCTCTCTGAGCCCATGTACGCACTGTCTGTCACCTCATTGGCCTGTGGCACAAAAAGGGACAAAGAACAATGTAAGGATTGGCAGTCTCAGAATCCTGGTAGATTGTCATGTATCATGTCCTGCAGTTGATGGTGGCTGGTGGTGGCAGACCTAGCAGTTGGTGATTGAAGGATTGATGTGAGTATTGGTTCTAAAGGACTGAGTAATTTGTAAGTAAGAGTTTACAGGTATCAGCAATTAAGGGTGGAGGCATGCAAGGGATAGGTTGCAGCAGGATGTTACTGGATTTAAGGAGCTAACCTTGGGGCTGATCTTTCAGAGAAAGTTATTTGTCTTATCTTGGTGGTAGATGCTGCTTGTTTTCTCCCCAGTTTGTGGATTTTTGGTTTCCTGACCTGTCTCCTGAACCCTTGGAACCCTGGAACCTTGAATCTTTGGGCTGGCTTTTGACTACAGTATAGATTCTTGATCCCTGGACTTTGCTCACTGAACTCTTGGCATTTGACCACTGGATTGGACCCTTTGACTATGGTGTAGCATTTGCTATCAGTTTTTGTTTTATATTCTGTGGCTGAGTGCTATCTTTATGTTTTATATTTTGGACTATTAAAACAGCCAGGAAGTAAGTGCTGCTTTAATTAAACTGTTTGATAGAAACTGGATGTTTGCTTCATTCACCTATGCCTGAATACCGGAGACCTGGCATCGTGACAGAGATTGTGCAAACCCCACCTCCTCCAAGGTGAACTGAACCACCTGAACCAGGCTCTACAGGCCAATGGGTATTCATTCTATGACAGACATCAGAAGAGCTGCAAGACCAAGAATAAGCCAGGAGGGTCAAGATAAAGACCTACCCAGAGGAAGAGTGTTCTTGCCATACATCTTGCCATAGGATATATTCATTGGAAAACTAGAGCAAAATGTGCTATAGCAGGATATCCCTCCCACAAAGACAAAGTTTTTGCAGTTTAATACACCTTTCCCATGTTTTAATGATAGTACCAATTAGGAAATATTTATTTATTTATTTCATGCACTTGTACCCCGCCCTTCTCACCCCTGAGGGGGGACTCAGGGCAGCCTCACAGCAAGCACCATTCGGTGCCATCATAATCATAAAAACATTCAACAAATTCATTAAAACAACATTAAATAAACAGCTGTTAAAAACACACCAGTTAAAACCAAAGTCCGGGCACAATAATGACACTTATAAACCAGGAACAGAAATCATGTTACACCCAACAGCTTTGGGAAAATGCTGGGAATTAAAAACTCTTCCTAACTCTTCCTGTTGGGTATTAAACTTTTTCTAAAAATGTCTCAACTGTCAGCATTGCAAACAGCCATTTGCCTATGTTTCAAAACCTTATGAATGTTAAGCACCTTTCCTTCCCAACGGGTGGGAATTATTGCTGGGAGAAAAAAAAAAAAGTTGATGCCATTTCTAATTCCAAAGGGAATTTAAACACCTAGCAAAGGATTCCTGGAGGTTATCTCTAACATTCATTTGCACACCTTCAAGAAGGTTAATTCTCAAAGGACAAACAAAAGGTACACACCTTGATCAAGGTCAGAGAAGCTGATTTCATAAACATCGCAAAGTTCTGCTTTGTAAAGAAAGATGACCGAGACACGCGGCTCTGGGCAAGGAACACAATGTTACTCGTTTCAGGCTACTTCCTGGAATGGCCAAAGCAATGGCCAACACCCAAGAGGAGACTGGCAGCAAAAAGGTTCACTCCAAATGGTATTTTGCACCAAGACGTTTAGCCTCCAGTTCTGGAATACGATGGATCAGGATCCATTCAACATTCCAAAACAGGTTGAGCATCCCTTCTCCAAAATGCCTGGGACCAGAACATTTTGGATTATCTGGTTGTACATGCAGAGATATCTTAGAAATAGGACCCAAGTCCAAATAAAAAAATTCATTCGCATTTCATTTACACCTCATACACATGGACAAAAGTAATTTTACACAATATTCCCAATACTTTTCTGCGTGAAACAAAAGTTTGTGTACACTGAACCAAAAAGGTATCCCTATCTCACGTATTTGGATTGGGAGGATTTCTGATGACTGGATAAGGGATACTCCTTTTAAAATACAATGCATCTGACTACTTCTTATTTGAAAATATTTAAAAGCCATCATTAAGTATAAAAGTAGGAACCCTGAAAGCCAGTTCAAAAGCAATAGGTTCCTAAGACTCTTCAATTTCAAGAAGCATTTAGACCAGGCATGGGCAAATTTTGGCCCTCCAGGTGTTTTGGCCGTCAACTCCCACAAATCACTGGCCTCAGGCCCTTTCCTCTCCCCCCCAGCCACTTATGGCACCGCAGGCTACTTCAACCAGAGAAGTCAAGCATAGCAGAGCACCTGATGAACCAACTTGGATATAGAATAATATATGAGAACACAAATGCTGGACCTTTCTAACAACCACCATGTCAGACAACACAGAGAAGCCATTGAAATCCACAAGCATGTGAATAATTTCAACAGAAAGGAAGAAGCCATGAAAATGAACAAAATCTGACTACCAGTATTAAACAACTCTAAAATTATAACGGTAAATAAAGAACAACACTCAAACACAGGGGTACTCCAGACAAGAAACAATCAGGAATCACCTCTCAACAAAGGATTCCCCCAGGCACTAACGAGCCACACCTAAAAACTGCCAGGCTAACAAATGCTAATCAAGGTGGCCAATTGAAACATTCACACCTAGCTCCAACAAACAAGAGTTCTTTCTCCCACCCTGGAGATTCCACAGATATAAAAGCCCCATTTTCCTAGTTTCCATCAGACCTCACAACCTCTGAGGATGCTTGCCATAGATGCAGGTGAAACGTCAGGAGAGAATGCTTCTAGAACATGGCCATATAGCCCAAAAAACCTACAACAACCCACACTTTATGATGTTTTCAGGTATATAGCAACTGTGATAATTTGTGCTTGCTTTAAAAGTTTATACTTTAATTTCTCCTAAACTTTGAACTAATTTTTGAATAATTAGTACCAGATTATGTAGTTTCTAAAACTTTGATAATATGTATGGGTCATTAGTCTTGATTTTTAGATATGCCAATATATAAAGAGAGAGAGAGAGAGAGAGATTGAGAGAGAGAGAGAGAGTCATTTTCAACTCTTAAACATTTGAAAACATACATAAGAAAGAAAGACTGGACTGGACTGGACTTGCACTCTTGAGTATCCACCAAAGTTTATTGATGGAGCCTGATTTCTGTCAAAGTGTATTGACACAGTTAAGTGTTTCCAACAGATGTTGTGGTAACATCTGTGTTTCCAACAGATGTGGCATTCTTTTGTAACTATAAATTATCAATTAACAGTGATTTTCAGTTATTTTAAGACTTGAAATTATGTAACTAAAATAGAAAATAGATTTAATTAAGTCTAAATAAAAATATATTTAAATTATTTTGTGTTATGGATTTTTTTTCTAGCTAAGACCCTGACTCCCGCCCCCGCTTCCTTCCTTCCTTCCTTCCTTCTTTCCTCTATCTCTCTCTTTCTTTCTCCTTCCTTCCTTTTCTCCATTCCCCAGCTCTGAGAGGGGACAACCCCACAATGTCTCCATGTCAACATGGCTCTCTTTGTGGTTCTTTCTTTCCTTCCTTCATACACATCATCTTTCTTTTCCAGTGAGGACCACTTCATCTAGCAAGGGCCTTTGTGGTACAGACATATGAACAGGCAGAGACAAACTTTGACGCTTATATGTGTGTGCACGCGCGTATAGATTATTGGCTTATGGTCCCTCCCCGCTACACAATGCAGAAAGCTAGCCTCTGTCCATGTCAAAATGCCAATCACCCGACAACCAGTATTGTGTTTCCAACACAGAGTCATGCCTGGCTGCTTTTGCAGTCATTGTTTACCTGCCTTGATTAAATATTAAACCCCAAGTCAAGATTCTGCAGAGACAGGCTCACATTCCTAACCTAACTCAGATATCCATTTACGAGAAGCTAAATCCCCCCCCCCCCCAAAAAAAAACATGCTGCAAAACAAAACAAAAAAAGAAAGAAAGAAAGAGATAAAGTCAGTGCTTGCCTGGTTCAAAAACACCTTGCCCCACCTTTGCACAGGTCTCCCATTTATGGCCTCAGAAAAGACAGCCAATTTCCTGGGGGGGCTTTACAAAACACTTTGCAGATTCCTTTGCTGAGGAAGTTTGTTTTTGCATTAGCGACAGACAGACCTGACCTCAGCACATCCCCTCCACACACAGATAAATCCCTTATCCAAGCTTTCCTGCCATGCTAAACAAATGCTAGCTTTAAAGGGTGGGAGGGACAGAGGGATTTGTGCAGGGTCAACCAAACAGGGCACGGGTGACAAGACAGCCTATCATCCCCAAAGGAAGGGGAGACACAGGAGCACAATTGTACAACAAATAAACCAACCTGTGCATTTACATTTTGCTTTCCAAATAAAACCAAAGCGCAATTGTTGTCATATCTTAGAGCCACTGTGATGTGCATGAAATCCTGCTGCATTTCACAAAATCCTGCAAGTATTCCCAGGGTGTTCCAGGTGATAGCCCTGCGTTCCAAAGAGTTCTTAAACAACCAAGACCGAAGACGGATCCAGCAGCACACAGGCAATGGGTCTCACCTTTCCAAAGGTCCTATCTACATCCTCCGCTGTTTAAACTGGAATGAAATCCATGGTCACCAAACTAGCAGGAGCCAGGGTTGCATCGACTCAGCATGCCCCAACTCCAGCAGATCTGAATAGTTTTATTGGCAAAGCACTAAGCAAACTGTTTGCAGAGGGCTTCTGAATGGTATTGCTGCCCACACTGCTAGAGAATAGGTCTTCAAAGAGGAACGCTAATTTCCTAGCTTGTTTGGCCACTCATAAAGTCAGACACTGAAGACTCAGAGCCACACATCCCACACTTCCACACACTTTAAAAACTGTTTACAGGTGGAGTAAACCCAATGTATGACACTAAACTACTTCTGCCAGTCACCTGTAGGATTCCATCCACCTGTAGGT